CTAACTGTGCATTCTCACTTTCAAGGAAAGTGGCCCAAGACGATTTTCAACCCTTGAATTCCAATGCATCGATTTGAATGAAACAAAGTTTGTATGGTAGATTGGTTATCGGACTTTAAGATGTAATTTGAAAATATTCCAAAAGTCACATGCAATACCTTTATTTAATTGGTTTTTGACTGTTACGGTTTTTTTTGGTGGGACAACCTGTAGTACCGTGGAACAGCACCTGCTTCCCGCACAAGAAGCAATCTTTGCGAGAAACAAGTGTGCATGCCCATCATCTTCCACGTGAGAGCTCTACACTGCGTGTGAACCAGCCCACAACATGGCTCACAAATGCCCGAAATTCCAATTTACTTAATGCCGATACTCCATTTCCCCAAGGCTTCTCCAGATTCCATCTAATTTTGCTTATCTTTTTTCTCCCGTCTTAGAGAAAAATTGGATCTCGAGTCGATTGCGGTCCCCATCAGTCAAACGGTTGATTAATTAATTTAAAAAATGTGAAATCAGCGGAATGTTACGGAGATAAAAATCCTCTTCAAACGAAGCGTGTGGGATTATGTTTATCTTTTATGTTAGATTGTTTCCATTTCATAAACATGCAGGAATATATACGGTACATATTTTTCTTTCATGGGTTTATAAAAACGATCGTATTTCTCATCTGATATTTTTTGTTTTGCTCAAGACGATTGACTAATTCTTTTCGTAAGTGGGGGGAAAGTGGTTCGAATGTCTCTTTGGTCGATACACTTGAACTGAATTTACCATTTTGGAAGGCGGAACCTTGCCTTGAAACACCTCAGGTTGGACGGGCAATGTACCATTGTCATATCATGTTGCACGAGTCAAGTGTAACTCTAGCCCAATCTGCAGCAACAAGGAGACCAAATTATACATTTTCTCCCCCGTGAGCTAGTGTTACTTACAGTATATAAATCATGATGACGCATACTTCTTAGTTGAATAAATTCAGTCCAAGCAGTTTTTTAACTACATTACCGTAAATGTAGGTCGATTGAAATCAGTTAATTATCAAAATGTAGACTTCTAAAGGGAACGTGCAACATTTGCTTTTGCTGCAATTTTTAGAATGGACTTCGACACTGTAAACACGTTGGGCAAAATGGGTTGATATGTAGACCAACGTTGGTCAAAATATCAACAGGTTAAACTCTTGGGCAAATTCTTCCCAATTGTTGGCAAATTTTTACCCACATTGGGTAATTTCAAACCAATGTTGGGTAACATTTTATTGCCCAACAGTGTTTTACCCATTATTTTTTTTACAGTGGAGGATTAGAATGTTATAGCAAATATTGTTAATCTGACTTGTTTCAGGTTTTGGGCTTGTATAGATGCTGGAAAAGCCAAGAAAACAAAACATGTTCTTGTAGTCTGGTTCCCTGACCCCACTTAAGATGAAAAGCAATTTATAGACTTTGGGGGAATTGTTATGTCAGAGAATCAGTCTAGCAGGCTTGTACCCCTTCACAGGTGTGTAATCAATTGCAAAGAAAATACTAAATATGAAAAATTAGGAACAATTTTTGAAAAAAGCCAGTTTTCTCCAACGCTGCTCGGCCGGCCGACCAGCGTTAGAAAAATACAGTTTTTTTGAAAATGTCAGCACACTAGGAGCCACGATTTTACAGGATGCTTTAGACGGTCATTGCCTAACAATCCAGTAAGGTATTTCGTGATAATTTGATCGTTTCGCTTTTTGATCTTGGCAAATGTTGTATCTCCCTTTAATGGAAAACAACATGGGGACGGTATCTGAATTGATCATGAACATTAATTTCAAAGCTAAAAGATTACAACAACAAAAACCCATTCCAATGTTCTCACAATAAATCATGTACCAAAATGGCGCCATAATCAGAAACAAGGACAGAAAGTTAAAAAAGGTCAGCTTTTGAGGGAGTTTCATTACCTTTTGCGTAACGGCCATTTTAGATGGTGCTCTTTGTTATTTAAATGATGTACTCATGCCTATCTCAGCCCTATAAAAACAATCTTTGCCTTCTACGATGCCCGCCACACATAAGATGTGTTGGGCCATGGAGCTCGAAACGATGCCATTTGGTCTTTGTACGATCCTCTTGAAGTAGGCCAATGCGATTAAAACAATGGTGAGCATGTAGTCATTGATGCTGTAGGTGTTTCTCTCAAACAGCATGGGATGACTCAGCATAGCTCCAGGGTGGATATGCTACCTGACAGCTGATACGTCTTGTGTTGCATCACCTGTCCTTTCTTGACAACATTTTTGGAAACAATTTTGTAAGCAATCTTTAAGCCTATCTGGAGGGGGGGGGGCTATTTATTTTCATCTTACGAATTTTCTACTAAAGCATGAGTTTTTACTCTTTTTAATGTATGTAACCCTCTGAAGAAATGGATTTTTAAAATTATTTTTGTGTAATAAATCAATTATTTGTTTTGGCATGTGAGCGGGGGGTTCTTCTGCGCAACAACAGATCCGCCTTGCGAGTGGACTGGTTTCCGTCCACACACTATGATTTTAAAAGGGTTCGGGAGAAAGTCTAGCCGCGAGAACTGAATAATTGTCGGGCCGTAAATAATTCGAAACTTGATAACTACTTACTTTACATTTTGTAATAACTATTTTCGATATTGTGTTCGTCATTGTCTCTCTCCGAAGTAAATAACTTTTGTTTTGCTTGACAAAATAAGTAAACAAATTTTTTTTTAAATATTTTCGGGCTAAACTCGAAAATAGCACAGACATTACATCTTAAAATAACCGTAGCCATCTGACGGTATTGACGCAGACTTGTCGAGACTTGTGACCATCAAGAATAATGTATTGACAAATGAACGACTTCAGTGCAAGGTTATAGTCTTGATACTAGTTCAGTTTCTTTCGCTCAGCTAAACACCATGTCTGGTTAATTAATGAGCAAGGTCTGATATTTTATAGCGCCAAATTAACCGATAAGGTTTCACAAAAGGCAGTGTAAAATTATCGTTGTAACCTCGTATTCACAAGATGGGATTCAGACCATTTTATAATTTCGGACTTTATTTCCCTTTAAAAAAAAATCCTCCAGAGCCACAAATCTGAAAAAGAAAATGTAATGTAACTCTGCAAAAAAATGTTTGAGACATGTTAAATTATAAAAGAAGAATATTGTTATTTATTTGGGGATGAGAAAAAAAACTTTAAAATGTGCTGCGGTCGGAATCGAACCCGAGTCATCCCACTTGCTAGAGCCTTTGCTTAACCACTACACAACTTTTGGTGGGAATTTAATACATCTTATAATTCAGCCCTGTCTTAAAGAGAACAGCGCCCTCTGTTGATATGGATTGCCGCCGGCAAACCTTTAGTAAACGTTAGTTTGCCGTCATTACCTCCGGCAAAATATCCACTATCTTCACGAAAACATTTCAAAACTACCACATCACTTTGCCATTTCACACCGTTGTCTGCATGCCAGAGGATCAAACTGCTCCAATCTCTTATCATAATACATGCAAGAATCGTGAGTGTGTCTGTATTTTAATTTTTTTCTCCAGTGAGATTGGGGATTTTTTTCTGCTTAGGAATAATGGGGCGTTTTGCGCAAGATGCTTCTTTATAATACGTTGATTTGGTGAATAATATTACTCGCAGTCAGTTTATTTCCTGGGTAATTTTTTGTCTATTTTGAGTTATAGCAGCTCAATGATATAACTTCTGTAAGATTATGTGAATCCCTAACATTTGTAGGCCTAGAGTAAAACTGTTTGGGAGTGGGAGTTGAGAACGGTACCGAAATGGTGGACGGTCGACAGGCAGTACTATGACTTCCTCATTTTTATCTTGATTACGAGTGCCTATGCACATTTCCTCAAAAAGCAACCTGAATACAGTCTCTGCACGCCGCAACGGCCCCGTAAAAGCTACGAGGCTAGCTAAGAAACGCAGTTACCTTGGCAACTGAAGTCGTCCCGAAATCCTGCCTCGAATTACTGTCAACAGTCCTACATGTCTCCCAATCTAACTCATCAGTTTCTGTCAGGACTCGGTTTGTTTATTCAGAGGGCAGGCCGCGGCTCTTCAGCATAAGAATGGAACCATAACAGTCACCTTGCAGTATTGAAAGCATAGACAGATATTCAACGGGGGCAGCATGCGCGTATCGCTCGCTTGGGTGTTAAAGGCGCAATCACAGCCATGCTCTTCAAAATTGTGGCTAACATAACATGCAACATTCGAGCGGTTTTCCAGTGAAAATCAAAATGTGAAAAATGGTTGGACGGCCTTGTAATTATTGTTGTAAATTTTGCTTTTGACGACTGCGCTAGGAAAGGCTCTTTCTGTTTGTTTCGGTTTGGCATAGTTCGGTACCATCCGTTCGGTTTTGTTTGTTGATTCAGTCCGTTTAGGTTTAATTTGGTTCAGGTCGGTTCAGTTCGGATCGATTCGGTTTGCTTATATTGGGTTCGGTTCGGGCCGATTTGAATTGGAGCGGTTAAGTTCCGCTAGTTGTAGTTTGGTTCGGTTTGGTCGTGATCGTGCCGACATCTAGTCTATGCAATAGACCATGGCGTAAGCGCATCTTGACCTATAGATTTGACCAATTAGCGAGCGCTTTCTATATCGGGTCTTCGGTCATTCACCCGTTGCGCGTCACAGACATGGATTAAAAAAAACCTGTGACGCGCGCTCTGTATCATGTTACGCGATATGCGTCCGGTTGGTGTTGTATTACAAAACACTGCTTTCCAATTAACCAATCAAATCATTATATTGCTCATTTGGGAATGAAATGACGTCACGATTTAGTAAAGTCGACTCCGATTGGCTGGCGCGCGGCTTGCATATATCTGCATGCTTAGACATATCGGACGTTATACAAGAGACTTGGCTCCGTGGATAACGGGTGATACTCAGACTATCCGACATCCCGCAGTGCATCTAATATTATCCATGAATATTTTTGTACCATTCTCTGATTTCTTTTGATCTGTTCACGCCACAGGATCAAAGTGTTGTTGGGGACTGTGTTGCGGGCCCGGCTTGGCTCTTGGCATAGTGGCATGCATCTACTTCATCATCATCCTACCTGCAGGTGAGTGGTCCCCCAAACAAGACGATGATCTCGAAACTGTCATTTCATATTTACATCTTCTTGCGTCGTTCCTTATAATGCCAAGGGGATAATATAAACATGTCACTGTTGACTTAAACTGAAATGCCTTCAATTTCTACACAACTTAATCACGTTCGGTCAGTACCGTCTCTGAAGAATAATTCTGGGTTTTTGTGTGTGGAAAAGTTTCATTTAGCCAGTCACGTATCGGGACGGATGTGTGACAGGATTTCTGAAAAACATGCCGAAATTTCAATTTTACTTTGAGTTCATGTGTCCGTTATTTTGTCTAGCACATAACCTCGACAGACTGGGTATAGGTAGGGACTTGAAGGTGTACCAAGATGGCATGAAGTGAAGTTCAGGAATACACTGGAGTGTGATTTTTTCAATTTGCGTATGGCACCCTGACGTATGCAGTAAAGACCCATGCATCGTGCCCTTTAGGGATGTGTTCAATATGGCCGATGGGAATAATAATTCGCACATGAAAGGTTGGCATATGAAGGAATGGACGTTTTACATACAGCCACCATGTTGGAGGTGTTACTTATATTCAGTAACGGTAAATGTGCCAAAGATATAATGCTTATCCCTCAGCAAATCGCCAAGATGGCTGCCATAATAATGAAGGTCTATAACCACTAATCACAGAATCCTCACATTTTCTTTCCTTTATATTTTTTAAAGGACTGTTCTTGGCCATGGTGGGTGGACCTAAGAGCACTATAATCCTTCTTGTCGGTCTGGCCTTCGTCTTCATTCCTCTCGTCATCTTCTCGGTGGGATGTTTCTGTTATCGGCGAAGGAAGTCGCGACAGCATGCCGGCTATCACACAGCGTCAGCCAACTTCGTCCAGACCCCATCGCATGTTTAGAAGATGTTACACCGTGAACTACGGTGGCAGTCCGAAGTCTCGAAAATGGCGATTTAACGTCGCTTGATGTTACATCGGTGTAGAATTGACTTTGAGTGGCGTACCAGTCCACATTTGCAGAGAGCAAGTGACTGATATAGGTTTCCCTTCTCCTACGAGGTGACATTGGTACAATCAAGGCTGATTTAATTCGCAGTTCATTTTGAACTCTAGCCTATTGAAACCGGCGGCTCAGAAGTGGAAACATCATACGTCATCATATAGAGACGAGCTCGTGTAAAGACGCTGCCAGTGATTGGCTGAAAGTAACATTCTGCGCTCGTACATAGCCAATCGGCAACACGCCTGTGTGGTTTGTGGCATCTTTGTCTGTGATTGGTAATAACGCATGCGTTATCATGCGGCTGGTAGCGTCAGTGGCAAAGTTGTAGCGCCCTCATTGTCAACTTGCAAAAGTGGCTGTCGTGTGCGCGTTGGCTTTTAAGAAGCGAAATGAAATTCTTCAAGTGTCCCGAATGAAAGCTAGGATTGTAACTGTTACGCGTTGCAGGTGACGTTCATCTGTGATCTCTATTACAATATCAAAAGTTATTAATCACTCGTAAACATTGTTATGATACTTTTCACTCTTTTTGGCGCTCTACATTCGTCCTGCCTTCCAAATTTTGGCAGATTTGTCGCTGTTCTAACGTACAAAATTCTGTAAGAGCAAAATTAGTATAATAACGATTTTAGTATTGCATTAAAAAAGTTCCAGATCCATAATATGTATATTTAAGCGAGTGGAGACATATTTTTGACAGAATACAGTTCAATGACTGAAAAAAGACTCTTTTAAAATAATTTTTATGAGTGAGCGTTTGGTAATAATTGCCATGTTAAACTGTGGAGTATAGACACCTCTTTCGGAGCAGTCGCAGTAAGATAGGCCTACTAGAATTTATCAGAGCAGGAACGAAAGCTTACTTCAAATGGGACCACAGCATGATGACTAAATACATGTACACGGAAAGCTATGGCGCTGCTTTAACGTGAAGAGTAAACAGCGCTAGCGTACGTGGAATCTGCGTAGGATGGCTAGAACATTAGAGTATGTGCTGTATTGTTGAGTCACTATGTAGAATGCTTTCATGTCATACTGCTTGAGGACCCTTGATTCCAGCAATGGTCCATTCCATTTCGATCAGCCCTAAATATATGTGTACATTTGTTTATTACGATTCATAATGTCTATTTAATATAAACATTTACACAGGTTGTGTTTATACGAAAGTAGAATACCGAAACACTCGAGTTTTATTATCATTCAACCATTTTTTGGACACGGAATGTCTTCTGAATAAGGACGGGGTGTAATGGGGACATTCCTCCACACAGAGAGCAAGTGGCCCGCATGACTGCACAGCCTTTGTGTGGTAGCGGGACTGCACAAAAGCAGCAGCTGTGGAACTACCCACTACCCGTGTGCCACAGCATACCACAGCTGGCAACTGCATTCCAATGAGGATTAGCGGCCGCGGCCATGACCGCTTCCCGTACGCATGGGGTTAATAAATAGTGAACATTTTCTCAACAATTTCGCACTATCTGGCAACCTTCCTAAAATTCGTGATTTTCATCTCCCAACTCCATGCACCACCAATTGATGTTTGATCTAGAAATGAACGAACCCGGCAATACAATACTGTAGGGAACAACATACAATTGTTCAATGCTAGACATTCCAAATTTCCAATATATATTTGAACTCTACCAATAATCAGGTTTATCCATCATTGAATGTTATTATTATCATCATAAAGTCGTACGTAATCTACGTATAGTAATCCTTCACTGTATTTGTGTATTAATGGTCCCTTATGGGGAGATATGTTGTTGTCCAAAGTTATACAGGGTGAGTAAAAAAACCCGAAACCCAAATGTCGGGACTATTGTTTAAGTGACGTTCTGCATGTAGCACTTTCAAAATGTAGGATTTAAGCTTTCATTAAGTACCAGAACCATTGAAATCACTCATACATGTACTTTTCAAGTTACGGAATTTTAAACACAACCACCGTTTTAGAGTTCTGTCCACGATCACAAAAAAAGTGTGCGTTCTTTCAGCAAAACGAAAACAATTCACACTCATCCTATATATGTGATTTGTTTTGGTATTTTTTTTTTACTCACACTGTACCTAATACGAAGACAAGCTAGATTTCATAGGGAAACATCTGGGCCCAATGTCATGACTTTGCTAAGCACACAAATTTGCTTAGCACAAAAATAGTCTCGCTTATAAAAGCAGATTGCCAGCCAAAACTCCACGTGATGCATATTGCTCGTGATTAGTATTCAGCTGTTGTTTGCTTAGCATGAAAATCACATGGAGTTTTGGCTGATAACCTGCATGCTTTTATAAGCCAGACTTCTGTGTGCTAAGCTTTTTTTTGTGTGCTTAGCAGCGCCATGAAATTGGGCCCTTATGTTTCAAGTCCTATTTGTAGGCAATGTTTATTATTTACAAAGTTTGGTGAGAATAGAATAAGTTAAAGTTGGGGTCAGGGGTCATTAAAGTTAGTTTTTTGTGTACAAGTTTATGGGAAGGCCTCCCAAGGGTACCGTATCCCGTAAGTATTGTTATTTTTTGTACAATCAATCCATGAATTACATTGCAGTACCTATATACTAATTAATATCGATACGTTTTTCTATCGAACATATTTTGTAACAACGTGAGTATTTACGCCGAGTTTTGTGCAATCGATCTTGCTGTATTAAAAATTCTGTTATAAACATAATTGAGCAGAGCCCATCTTTCTGTTTTTCGAAATATTAATATGGGAACTTGATTCAGATTAAAAGTAGGCCATTCCTGTACGCTTTCCCCGAATCTTGGACCATAGAAAACAAATAAAGAAGAGGGTTTGACACTACAAGCGCAACATATTCGATTGAACGGAATTAGTGTTCAACATCACGCTTTAAGATTTAAGCTTTGTATGGTTTTGAGTATCAGTATTGTTTTGGTTTGCGGTAAAACCGCAAGTAGCTATTTTATTCTGATAAGAACTTGTCCTGCTTACTATCAACTTTCGCCAAGTAGTTTTTAGTTCTGATAAGCACAGTCCTGCTTAGTTCTAAAAGAACTTGTCTTTGGTGTCAACGTTTCGACTAGCCCGCTCTAGTCATCGTCAGGAGAACAGGAGAACAATTCCAATGATCATTCTGTTGGTTGATTTGGAAATGGCAACTCCTACATCTCAGAACAAGGGAAGTCACTGATCGAGAGCTACCAACATTTGTAATAATCATATGCATTATTGTTGTGACGATGTTGTTTTTGGTTTTTCTTAATAGGCGGCGCGGCAGTACGTCAGCCGATGAAAAAAACACCTTTCCATTAGCAAATTTTTAAAATCTTTTCTTTGTGTTACCATTCAGTACTCCAGACTCAAAAATCACCCAGTTCGATGAGTCTGGGAACGCAATAAGGATAAAGCTTACCAAGAATAAAGCTGGTTTTGCATCATGGCAAACGTCGAGGACACATGAATTAAGACTTTCCCAACCAAAATTGGTTCAGCGAAATGCTGTGTTCTCCACGACTCGACCGAGTTGTTGCTAGAATTCGTGGCCATAACTATTTGATGAAGTATGCTGGCTACTACCAAGTGCCCCTTGTTCCCCCACCCCGTCTTAAATTAAGAGGACAACGTTTAAGTTGTAGGAAAGTGGTATGAGGAACCTACATACAGAATGATGTGATACCTTACAGAAACCACGGATTTCGTACACCAAAAAAAAATGGAATAATGAATTCACAAAGATGTAAAAAATATCTGGCCAACTTAAACTTCACCCACTTCTTACCACACACACAGATGCCCGTGAGACCAGCCTTGACTCCATCGATTCATAATTTTGACGAGGTTATTCTCAGATAGCGCTAATTATAGTGACCTTTGCAGGTTCAAATGATTACGCACTTTTTCGTTTTCTTGGCAATTCAGAGCCAAAAGTATATCCCTGGTGGCGCCCTTCCCGATCTCTCCACTAGTAAAATTTGCCAGAAGAAGTTCCAAGATTTGCAATCATTTTAAAGAGAATCACCTTCTGGAAACGCCTTTGTCAATTTGTATCTAACGTATCGATTGATGTAGTGGCGTCAGGGGTGGCGGAACCGGGGGGCTGGGGGGCGTTTGCCCCCCAGATTTTCCCAAGTGCCCCTTTTGCGGCCATAAATGTGCCCCTCGAGCATTAAAGTGCCACCTCGAGTTAAAACAAAAATGCCCTTAGAGTATCTTACTATTTCTTAGAAGTAACCATTTACCAATAATGGTATAGATATTTTTTATATAAACGAGGAATATGACAACCAAGTCCCAAAACCCATACAATACGCCCTGGAAAGGGGCACATAATGCATATTTAGCATATAATCATTGGTTTTGAAGAGCGCCCCCTATGTTGGCAGATGGTACCAGAACATAACATCATTTCATAACTTATAATCAAACATAAAAAGTAGAATATAATTATAAGTCGACAATTTTTCTTAACAATAATAAACGTTTATTGAAAGAAAAAACTAAAACTGAAACTAAACTAAACAAAAGCAAAGCAAAGCAAGCTTCGGAATCTCACTTTTGACTTTGAATGTGAACCAGCATCCCAAAAGCAACTAAAGCAAAGAAGTACAGACCTCCCAACAGCAGGAATGCTAAGGTGTAGCTTCCTCCGAGGTCAAAGTTCAAACCTTGACAAAAAAATAAATGATAGGCCACAAAATAAGGTTAGAATATCATTTGATGTGAGACATTAAATAAGGTTTTTGAAACGAATTTAGACAAGTCTTTGTTGTTAAAGTGGAATTTGTTTTCAGGATTTTCGTTAAATTTTACTCACCTGGTAAATACAGAAGTAGGAAAGAGAAAACAGCAGCTTTCATTCCTATCCAGCCGAAAGCACTGCCCAAGGAATCAGCTGGGACTACGTCACACATCAAGACATCCACCAAAAGCCAAATCAAGAACGTTGAACAGCCGTAGATGGCGACATTAATCGCATTCAACCAGAAGGATGTAAGCCATGGGTCGATAAGGTAATACACGATGAGTGACGTCAGAGTAATTCCCATGAATCCTTTTGTGCTGACTATTTGAATTTTGTCCATCAGAGGTCCGAGAGTGAAGGCAGTGATAATCCTTGTCACTCCCATGATCGATGTCAGGATGACTGATTCCTGCGGTGTGAAACCCTTGGTCTGAGTGTGAGGAATGAAGTACACCGACCAGCCTAAGCAAGCAACATGATGCACAATGCTTATGACTGCTACGCACCAGTACGACCGATTGAAGATGAGCTCCGTGTTGAGATGTTGGCAGAGGGCTCTGAAAGCTGACTTTCTCTGAGGCTCATTCCTTTCTCTGAAGGTATTTAATGGGTCTTCATGTTCCTCCTCAACACGATCAGTTGGTAAGACAGAGTAGTAAGAATTCAGAGCAGTATCATTGCTTGACGGGAACCGGAAGAGGGCGCCGCACACGATCATATGAAGAAAAATGGCGCCCAAAAGGAGCATAGAAGCTCTGCAGCCATATGTATCCAGGAATAGTTGCGTCATCAGTGGAATAACCACGAAGGAGACAGCGCTACCAGATTGAGCGATGGAGTAGGCTGTAGAGATACCTCTTGAGCTGAAACATCGTCCAACCAGCTCTCTGCACAAAACATTACTAATCCCAATTCCGGGTCCTAAAGATGAAGAAAATCAAATGTTGTAGAAGTAAAACCTATTAATAACTGCCACCTGCACATAACGTGAACCAAACGGAGCTTTGACCGAACCTTACCTTAACCATATACACATTATTATTTATATCAGGCTTCCAGCGGTAAAAATAAATCAGCGTATCGACCGCTTGCAAATGCGTCTGCAAGCGGTCTATTGTATGCTTTCATAAAAAGTACCCGGATGACTGTAATAATAAAGTACCCGGTGGACTGCAATAACATTATTATTGCAGTCATCCGGGCATTTTCGCCGGTTCCCGCTTGATCAAGAGCATAGAAAGTCACAGTTGTCAACCACTCAACAGAGCGTAGCGAGCGCGTACACCGTCGAACACGGAACTCGCCGCGCGCATGCAGCGCGCAGAAGGCCAGGTATACGCGCACTGTTGTTAACAATTTCAGTGGCAGCTTCAAAACGTTTGATGTAAACAAAAAAGATGAAATGAAGACAGTGTCTTGGATGGTGCTACTTGCGGATCAAGTCAGCCTGATAGAAATAGTAATAATAATATTGGACGGCTTGTTTTCGGTGGATACAAGAATATATTGCACTCACTATGCCAATATTGCACTCGTCTTCGACTCGTGTAATATTGTCAAAGCTCGTGCAATTTATTCTTGTATCCACCTCAAAGCCATCCAATATTATATAATTACATCACTACCTTTTACCAATATCTTCACATTATGCAGGAAACTTAACCCGAAACCGTTCGTTTATTTAGCTCCACTGCGCATGTCTGTCATCACGCAAGGAGCAGGCGCGAGTAAGCTGGGGGAAGTAATCGAACGCACTCAAGGTGTGTACAGAACTGAGAACGGATTAATCCACTCGGTAATTGGAATCGATCCACACGCATATTGAGGCAGAGGATGCTCAAACCGTCCCCGCATGTAAGTGCCAACCCACACGCTACACGTACCCCGTTTATGCGGTATCCGTCCACGCCGATGCGCGGCGGGCGAGCAAAACCCCGACAATATAAACTTGATCTCAAGCCTACTCACCTGCAAGCACTGCCAACGCAACTGCCATCACCACAGCTGACGAACACGATGCAATGATGAAAGCAAGGCCGACCACCAAGCCGCCGATCATCATGCAAATCCGGATACCGAAGCGGCTTCGAAGAGGGGCTGCAATTGGGCCTACGAACAACGGTGTGTATTGGTTAGTGATACACTCTCTTTGTGTGCTGCCACAGTGACCTAGTGGAATGAACTATAGGTTGCAAGATCTGTGGTTCGAACCTATGTCCATCTTCATCAAATATTTATGTTGGTTGGGATACGTTTAATTGAAGGGAAAACACTATGAGAACCAAAAAGTACCAAGAAGTGTCTTCCATCCATACAGAGTGATAAATATACATGTACATGTTAGGGTGCGTGATGTGATTGATTAAAATACGATGTATGCTGCAAATAGAAATACACATTCGTCCCCCCTAGTAGGGTTGTACCTTTCATTGGGTTAAATTCGATATTGGGCCGCGCCCAATTTATTTTTGGGTATGGTTTCATCCGCTTATAGATGGGTGAAACCTATCAGGCGCGGTTCTAGAGCCAATATTTTTGGGGGCTAGCAGGGTGGATCCAGAATTTTTTTCAGTTAGGCGAGCTGAACATGTACGTCACATTCTTAATTTTTTTTTAGTGCAATTTTCTTTTATATGGATTTTTTTTTTGGGGGGGGGGCTGGACACAATTTTGGGCAGGCTAAAGCCCCCACTAGCCCCTCCCCTAATACAACCGCAACTGGATTGCAGGCCGTAGCTAAGTCAGACGCAGTCTAAATATTTCCTTACCAACTAGATTCAGAGTGACTTCCATGATGACAATCATCCAGCCGATGACCCATGTATATGTTTCCATCTGGTCCCGTAGAGTCGGTAGCAGCGTGGCAAGACTTTTCACCGAACCCGTCCAAATGAACCAGTTGACCCATGTGCCCAGAATGGCCAGCAGTCCCACAAAACGGTTGCCTCTATCTGTGCCTAACAAACTGCATGTCTGATGTTCCGTCATTGCTATAGATGTTTATCACTTGATGAAAAAAGACTGAAGCTTATACATGGTATTGGTGACAGTGCAAGGAACATGAGGGTTTTTTGGGGGTTTGTTGGAAAATTTAGTTTGGCAGAAGATCGATCAAAACGGATTGAAGATCTATTCCATGCTAGCATTGAATGCAAAAGACCGAGTGTAAATGGATAGGTACATTTCTGTTGACCTCTGCGAAAAAAAGGTATAATGGCGTGATCGTGACGCTTGATATACCTTCGAATTTTTGGTGTGACAAAGCAGGTCAAACCAGGTTTATGCAGGTCTTTGATCATAAATGGATACTTGATTGGTCATGCATGCAAACACTCAGTGTAGCAAAGGCCCCATGTAAAGTTTATTCCAAGTGTATTTCGCTTCTCTTTGCGAATGAAAAGGTATTATGGTGTGGTCGAGGTACGGGTATACCTATGATTGTAAACTAAGTTAGTTTAGGTATGGAAATTTACCATGGCACTCAAATCTATTAAGATGGGTGGAGTGACGTGGCTCCGTCATTTTGTTCCGGACTGCGACAACACTGAAAATTTACCTGGGTTAATTTTACCAAAAGAAAGGGTTAAAACTGGAACTACCCAAACTTGGGTTGTTCTATAACCAATTGTTTGGGTTATAATTTATGTTCCATTCAACCAAAAGTTGTTGTCATACAAGACCAATCCAAATTTGGTCTTGATTCCGTGAATTTTCTTCAGAATATTCCTCTGGGCTTTTTCCTCCCACCTCTAAAACTGTAAATTCTTCTCATTGTCTTCTCTCTACAGGTTTCTTCAGGCTTTCGAGCTACAGTGGCTAGGGCGCTTTTCAGGAATCCTTGGTTTCATTACCAGAAAGAAATAAAAAAAAAATAATAATAACGTCCGTGGAAATCGAACAGTGCAGAAAAACAAACATGGATTTGTTTTAGTCACTCAGTTTATTCAACGTCATCGTTCATTAGAACACTTTTGTGGCAATATAGATTAAAGTAGCAAATATGCATTATTTCGATCTAATATAAAAAAATAACTTTGTTTTCTGCCACGCCGTACTTCATTATACACACGACAAAGTCTTTCATGGTAAGACTAATTCAGGTCCAATTTAGTATCTAAATGTCGCAATGTATACGTTACGTTCAACTTCATATAAATATGTCATATTTGTTCGTCATTTCATCGTAGAACATAAACATTATTTCGTAGCTGATTATAAAATCAAATAAACAAATTACTAGTCGACTAATTGTTTTCTGAACACTAACGCAGGTAAATTGAAAGAAAATAAGGAAAACCCGCCGGATTGGAATCAGGGATAGTTTATTTTTGCATTGCGGCCGACGATAATAATTTAAAGGATTTTATTAATTATTAATTATTAATTAAACAGGTGGAAAAGTCCTGATTGAACCATAGGAAGAAGTTCATGTATACTACCTGCCTATTCATCCACTGATCTAAAAGTAAAACACACTAGGATTTTATTTTGTAAAACGTGCCAGATTTAGGGCGGGGTCTTTGCAACACACAATTATCTGAAAACGGGGAGACTCAAAATACAGTTTTAGGGATTTTCTTGGGGAAAAGAAGTAATTTTTTGGAGCACTACTTCCCAAGGTGTATACAGTACTGTCCAATGACCAATTGAGAGCACGACGTTTTATTCGGGAGACGAAATTTTGGCAACAAGTCAGAAAGAGAGAGACAGGGGATCTTAGATCCTGCCAAGATCGATAATTCAAGCCTTCTATCGTTTTTATTTGTATATTTCTAGTCAGTGGGTTACAAAACACAGGTAGTATACATGTACATGTATTTACAAATACGATGATAACATGAATGACGGATGATACTCATCCCATCCAGGGGGAAAAGAAATATTCTCCGAAACCTGAGATAAATGTTGGTGCGGCCCACTGGGCCACTTTGGCTCGTGACAGACTTTACCACCTAATTCATACTTGTTATCATCTCCAAAATGGCGGGTAACTGTCCCCTGCCCATCCTTGAGAAAATGATAAATTGAGATGTGCTGGAAAAAGTACAGGGATTTTTTTAACCCCCTTCTAGAAAAAAATCCTGCTTCTGCTTCTGCTGGATACTCTGCACGCGCCACCAAATCATAACGCATAGGTCAGTGTGGCCGAGGTATTTCTTGTAATGCGACCTGATGATAATATTTTGAAAGAACTAAATTTCATTATTTGCGGTGAGTTTTATCCTTTGGTGGCTGCAAAGGTCGGGATTAAGAATGAGGAAAGGCCTATGCATACTGCCTGTCTCTTCAACTACTGGTGTAAAGTAAAACATGTAAGTTTGTATTTTAGAGCACGGCTTTCATCTAGGTGACGACTTTCTAGCGACAAGTCAGAAAGTGAGAGAGAATCGTAGATCCTGCCAAGATCGATATCTCAAGCCTTTTATCTTTGCTATTGTATTATTTAAGGTAAATCATGTCAGTAACACTGGCAGTATACCAATGGATGTACGCATGTGTTTACAAATGCTATAGGAACACAGCATCCATACCCTAAAAATAAAATAAACAAAAAGTACTGCAAGCTTCGGAATCTCACTTTTGACTTTGTATGTAAACCAGCAGCCCCAAAGCAACGATGGCAAATACTTGAAGACCTCCCATCAGCATGAATGCTAAGGTGTAGCTTCCTCCGAGGTCAAAGTTCAAACCTTGACAAAAGCAATAAACAATAGGCCACAAAATATGAGTAACAAAGACAATAGTTCAAAAGACAATTTGATGCTGTAATAAGGTTTGTGAAAAGAATTTAACAAGTCTTTGTTGTTAAAGTGGAAATTTGTTTTCAGGATTTTCGTTTAATCTTACTCACCCGGTAAAAACAGAAGTAGGAAAGAGAAAACTGCAGCTTTCATTCCTATCCAGCCGAAGGCACTGCCCAAGCAATCAGCTGGGACAACTTCGCACGCCAAGACATCCACCAAAACCCAAATCAAGAACGTTGAACAGCCGAAGATAGCGATATTAATCGCATTCAACCAAAAAGATGTAATCCATGGGTCGATAAGGTAATACGCGGTGAGTGACGTCAGAGCAATTCCCATGAACCCCTTGGAGCTGACTACCTGAATATTGTCCATCAGGGGTCCGAGAGTGAAGGCAGCGATAATCTTTGTCACTCCCATGATCGATGTCAGGATGACTGATTCTTGCGGTGTGAAACCCTTGGTCTGAGTGTGAGGTATGAAGTACACCGACCAGCCTAAGCAGGCAACATGATGCACAATGCTTATGACTGCTACGCACCAGTACGACCGATTGAGTAGTAGTTCAGTGTTGAGATTTTGGCAGAGGGCTCGGAAGACTGACTTTTTCTGAGGCTCATTCCTTTTTGTCAGGGGCTCTTCGCTTTCTTCCTCAACACAATCATCTGGTACGACAGAGTATTTAGACGCCAGTGCAGTATCACTGCTTGACGGGAACTGAAAGAGGGCACCACACACGGGCATGTGAAGAAAAATGGCGCCCAAAAGGAGCATAGAGGCTCTCCAGCCATATGTATCCAGGAATAGTTGCATCATCGGTGGCACAACCATGACTGCGACAGAGGCACCAGATTGAGCGATGGAGAAAGCCGTAGAGATACCTTTTTTGCTAAAACATTGTCCAACCAGCTCCCTGCACAAAACATTACTAATCCCATTTCCGGGTCCTGAAGATGAAGAAAATAAAACGTGTCAGTAAAACTTATCCATAACTGTCACTATAAACGTAGGCCAAACCTGGCTTCGACTATACCCAACCATACACATTACATTACTACCTACCAAAATCTTCAAATTACGGGGAAACACCTGATCCCAAGATTCCCAACCAATGGCACCCGCAGCCTTTAATGGGATACCCATGATACCGGCATTCGCACAATTGTTCAATGTAAGGTGTAATATGAATAATTCATATTCTCCTGGTTCTTAAACAATCATACCGCTCAGTCAAGATCTCGAAACATATGCCATACGGTGTGTACAAAACTGAAAACGGATTAATTCAGTCGGTATTAAATTGGAATCGACCTACACGCCTATTGTGCCGCAGAAGATGCACAAACCGTCCCCGCATGAAAGTGCCAAATCACACGCATACACGTACCCCGTGCACAAATCCCGGCCAATTTCAGACTTGATCTCAAGTCTACTCACCTGCAAGCACTGCCAATGCGACTGCCATTACCACAGCTGACGAGCACGATGAAATGATGAAAGCGAGGCCCATCATTGTGCCGCTGACCATCACGCAAATCCGGGTACCAAAGCGGCTTCGAAGAGGGGCTGCAATTGGGCCTAAGAACAATGTGCATTGGTTAGTGATATTTAAATGGACACTTCTTGAGTGCTTTGTAGTTATTAGCATATTGGGGCAGAAAATGCACAAACCGTCCCCGCATGTAAGTACCAAACCACACGCTACACGTTCCCCGTGCACAAAACCCGACCAATTACAGACTTGATATCAAGTCTACTCACAAGGAGAACGCTGTGGTCCAATGGTGACAACGGTGTTCGATTCATGTGCCAGATGCGTGGGTTCAAACTCTGGTGGGGGGTGTTCTTGGCCTTGTGTTCTTGGCCAACTTACTTTACTACAATTGTCTCTCCCCACCTAGGAGGACAAGTGGGTACCTATGAAGGTAGAGATCATAATGCAATGATCTCGAGCTGCTGATAAACAAGGGTAATAATGATTGTAAAGCGCTTTGAGACCTTTGGTATACAGCCCTTTATAGGCATTACATATTGTTATTTGACTGGTCCGTCGATGCCTTTCTATGCTTCCTTTATTGATGGTCTAAGGTGCTTCGCCTCGTGGAATGGAACATTTCATCTGTCACCTCATGAAATACTTCTTACCATTGCACTCACAAACATTCATTATTTGTATACCATGTGACTCGCTCTCGGCCAATCAAGAAACAGAATCTGTGGATGAGGTGTTAACAACACCTATGATTGTAGGCCTTAGCTAAGTCGGACGCAGTCTAAATATTTCCTTACCAACTAGATTCAGAGTGACTTCTATGATGACAATCATCCAGCCGACGACCCATGTATATGTTTCCATCTGGTCCCGTAGAGTCGGTAGCAGCGTGGCTAGCCCTTGTACCGCACCCGTCCAAGTGAACCAGTTGACCCATGTGCTTAGGATGGCCAGCAATCCCATATAGCGGTTCCCTCTCTCCACCCCACACAAACTGCAAGACGGTTGTTCCGTCATTGCTATATGTGTTTATCACTTGATAAAAACCACTCTTTATACTTAGTGCGAAGGGAAAGTGGTGTTTTTTTTTGGTTGTTCGAACATTTAGTTTGAGCGATCGTCAATCGTAAACGGATTGTCGATCATGCACTTTAGCATCGAATGCAAAAAACCGTGTACAAATTGTAGTCCTTGACTCTCTGTGCGGGAAAAAGGGTCTTTTTAATGAGTAGAAATGGATTGTCGATCATGCGTGCAAACACACAATGCAACATTTATTCCTATTGATGTATCGCTGGTTGTTGACTGCGGAAAAAAAAAGGTAAAATGGCGTGATGAGGCACGGGCATACTTCAACCTCGTCCCCAGTGCTTACTTTGTTTCCAACCGCGTTTCCAATAGTAAACCCTGGATAGGAAACTTTCTTCCTGTATCCTGACTGGATACCGCAATTGGCTAGTAATGGATTTTTATCGTGTACTTGGTGCTATATATTCACAACGTGCAGTACGTGTTTTCGCGATCATTCGTCCACGCCTCCTCGAAAATACTAATTTCCTTTCCAATTTGCTCATATTAATATTAAATATGATACCGCATGTTGTCTCGATAAGATCGTAACAGTTTGATTTCAAAAATCGTGTTTTCGTAACTCACGCCGTGCTCGCGCTGCTACGAATTGACTCTGTTTTTACCCCAGACACCGCATACAAAAACAAACGCTAATGTGTAACGCATATCCAGGCACCAGACTGTTCCTCATTTGCATACGTGTGCAAAAATCTTGCACATGCAAATGATCCAATACCAGGGTGAGAGAGCAGGTAGTGGTGCGCGCGTACTGCTCGACACCCTGGGGACGAGGTTGGGGCATACCTCTGATTGTAAAGTAAGGTCAAATTCAGCCTCGACTCCAGGGGCGCGTGCTCGGTCCTTACACTAACCCCTGGCTGTGATGATGACGTAAATGACACTGAATGGCTATTCACACTCACAGCGTACTGCGCGGGCATTTCGAAGATTGCACGCCGGGCGCGCCCATAATGCGCTCGCGCTCGCGTGCTTAGCTTTGCACGTATTAAAACGCCACGTACGAAAAAAAATAAATATGATTCAAAAGTCGCGAAGCCTGTACGATATGGATTATGTCAGCCTCGTTTTTCGCTAAAAAAAACCCCTGTATCTGTGGTTGTAAAGGTATGAAAGGGGTACGTACATTTAATACAAATCTTTGCTAATTAACACAACGTCCAAACGTTGTGTTTAAAAGGATTGATTCTTCAAAATCACAACTTTTAACATTTTAAAGATGGCGTCGGCACGTAAAACGGATAAACTGCAGTCCTAATTTTTATGTACCGTATTTTGGTACATTTAAATTACACAATTCCAGGGGTTACGATCACGCAAGGCATGATGGGAAACAACGTGGCGCTGCAAGATCGAACCCACGGGGCACGAGGTTGGGTCAAATTACGTTTTTGCCTTCTCCATTATTATCATCGACCAGCATGAAAACCTTTTATGGTTGCAGACCAGTAAATAGGCCCCAAATTGCCTACGCCGGCCAAATCACGATTTGCATGCACTCAAAATCTTCAGTATTTGAGAGTTTTGTGGGCCATGAACTTGAGGGTTTGTAAAAAATATGGGTGGAAGCCGTGCACAGGACTGGGAGCTTGCAGTTATGTGTAATTTGGATGTAATTTGGACCCTAAAAGCGCTCTATTTTGCAATGGAGTGTAGCCATCGTTTTTCAAAATGGCGATGGGCTTCAGGACTCTTTTTAGGGGTGATCATCTTCGGCTGGAAATTTGTCCTAAAAGTCATCAGTTGACCCCCCAAAAATTGAAAAGAAAATGAAAGGTGATGAAATAAGCTTTAATTTGATGTGTGTCTCGAACACCTTGGAGAGTTGTGAGTATTTTTTCCGAATTTCTGAAGTGGGAGCATTTACCATTGGGGTCTATGGAAGTTTATTTACTGGTCTGCTACCTATAGTCCCACTTCTGCAACTGCCGTCCGGACCCAGTTGGAGATTTTAATGGTTTATAAAATATTGTAAAGGGCTTTTCTGAAATCGTGACTTGAGAGGGAGTTTGGATATTCGCCACGGCACTCAAAGCATCAAGGAAGGTGCATTGACATGGGTCTTTTCTTCTATGGCTTATGAGCCAACGTAAACAAAAAATATGTGGAGCTATGGTGTAATTACAGTGGGTGGGGGGGGGGGGTTGTCGGGGGATTTCACGGGGTCACGGGGGTGCGTACCCCCAGTGGAGGTCTGTGCCCCCAGCGGGTGTCCGTTCCTCGGGTGCCACTGTTCCTCCCCACATTTAATTTCTTGAAATTAACCAATTTGAAAAGTACGGCCGTCTGAGTACCACGATTAGCTAAAAGAATGTCCATTTCCGCGATTTCGTGCGTATTTTCCACCTAGTAAATCCTTTCTTTTCGCAAGTGGCTGTTTATTAAACGTCCGTGGAAAGCGAAAAGTGACAGAAAGAAAAGCAATCATGGATTTGTTCTGGTCACACAGTTAATTCAATGTCATCGGTCATTGGAACATTTGTTTTTGCTGCAATACACAAGCAAAGGTAGCAAAATAAACATGTTTCGATCTAATGTACAATAATAATTTCGTTATCTGCATCGCCGTACTTCATTATACACACGTCGAAGTCTTTCACGGTAAAATTATTTTCATTTATTAGTATCTAAATGTTGCAATGTATATCTTACGTTCAACTTCATATAAATATGTGCTTATTTACGCATGAAATTTTTTGTTCCCCTTTAATTTTGATTGCCTTTTAATTTCAGAGAAATTAAAATAGTATCTTATTTATTTGTAAGCCTATATTTCAGGTAAATAAAGTTAGTGGGTTACAGAACACTGGTAGTATACATGAATATACAAATACCATGGTAACATGACAACTTTTCCTTAAAACTAAACTAAACAAAAAGCACTGCAGGCTTCGAGATCTCACTTTTGACTTTGAAGGTGAACGAGCATACCCAAAGCAACGATACCGAAGACGTGAAGACCTCCCAACAGCGTGAGTGCTAAGGTGTAGCTTCCCTCGAGGTCAAAGTTCAAACCTTGACAGCAACATTAAACGATAGGCCACACAATCAGAGTAAAGAAAGACATTAATTCTGTGAAATTATGATTTAATGTTAGATATTTAATTAGGTTTGTAAAAAGAATTAGAACAGTTGTTGGTGTGATTTTGTTTTCAGGATTTTCGTTTAATAAATATTTTACTCACCCGGTAAAAAGAGAAGTAGAAAAGAGAAAACAGCAGCTTTCATTCCTATCCAGCCGAAGGCACTGCCCAAGGAAGCAGCTGGGACTACTTCGCACACCAAGACATCCGCCAAAACCCAAATCAAGATAGTTGAACAGCCGTAGATGGCGACATTAATTGCATTCAACTAGAAGGATGTAAGCCATGGGTCGATAATATAATACACGACGAGTGACGTCAGAGCAATTCCCAGGAACACCTTATTATAATTGATGCGGCCGACTTGAATTTTGTCCATCAGAGGTCCAAGTGTGAAGCTAGCGATGATTTTCCATAATCCCATGATCGATGTCAAGATGACTGACTCCTTCGGTGTGAAACCCTTGGTCTGAGTGTGAGGAACGAAGTACACCTCCCAGCCTAAACAGGCAATATGATTGACAATGCTAATGACTGCTACGCACCAGTATGACCGATTGAACAATAGTTCAGTGTTGAGATGTTGGCAGAGGGCTCGGAAAGCTGACTTCTTGTGTGGCTCATTCCTTTTTCTGAAGGGGTCTTCGCTAAGTTGATGTTCCCCCTCAACACGATCAGTTGGTACGACAGAGTAGTTAGAAGCCAGTGCAGCATCATTGCTTGACGGGAACTGGAAGAGGGCGCCGCACACGGTCATATGAAGAAAAATGGCGCCCAAAAGGAGCATAGCCATATGTATCCAGGAATAGTTGCGTCATCGATGGGATAACCACGAAGGACGCAGCACCACCAGATTGAGAAATTGCGAAAGCTGTAGGGATACCTCCTTTGCTAAAACATCGTCCAACCAGCTCTCTGCACAAAACAATACCAAACCCGATTCCGGGTCCTAAAGATGAAGAAAATCAAACGCTGTGTAAATAGAACTTAGCTTTAACTGTCACCTGCATATAACGTGGACCAAACCGAGCTTCAACCGAAGCTTGCCGCAACCAATATACACACTACATACACAATATGAATATTTCATATTTCTCTGGTTCTTAACCAATCAGACTGCTCAGTCCAGATCTGGAAACATTTGCCATACGTTGTGTGCAAAACTGAGAATGGATTAATCCAGTCGGTAATGGAATCGACCAACACGCAAACCGTCCCCGCATGTAATTGCCGAACCACACTCTACATGTACCCCGTTATGGAATGCTTATCTGTCTTCGCCGATGTGCAGCGGGCGAGCAAAACCAGGCTAATTACAGACTTGATTTCAAGTCCACTCACCTGCAAGAACTGCAAATGCAACTGTCATAACCACAATTGATGAAAACGAAGCAATGATGAAAGTGAGGCCGATCATCAAGCCGCTGACCATCACACAAATCCGGATACCAAAGCGGCTTCGAAGAGGGGCTGCAACTGGGCCTAGGATCAATGATGAGCATTGGTTAGTGATATACTCTTTTCGGGTGCTTTCTAGTTATTTGAATCATCCGTCGATCCCATTCTGTGCTGCCTTTATCGGTGGTCAAAGGTGTTTCGTAAAAATGTTTTTGTTATGTACAATATGTTTTTGGGTATTTAAATTATCATTTCACCAAGTCAGCCCTTGAAAGTATCTGGCTTCCCTGGGGAAAACACGTCTGGTTGGCTAACATGGTGTTCAATAGTTTTCCTGGCCTTCAGGCCTTAGACATTTTATTACAAGCACAACAGCAGGAAGATTCATCAGCAGGAAATGTTGTGGTTTGGCTGACCGCGCCTATACAGTGTGGGCCTATACCAAAAAGATGTGCAACTTGAAAATAAAATCTCTAATTCATCTCTAATTCTATCTACATTTCCCATGACAAAGAAAACCATTAACAGCTCAATTTCTTTAATAACGGTTTACTGTTAATCCCACATGAGCGCCAAGATTACCACAAACCTTTCGTACCAAATTTCCGAAGTCTACAACAAAAGTACAAGCGACGACACCGAGCCCAGCACAGCGACCACGCTCGACAAATCTCAACAATAGAGGGCGCTGTTCACTTTGTCACCAGCGACAGCGTTTTACGTTAATTCCGAGCTGATGACTGCTTACAAAGTTGACTTTCTTCGGCACAACGATGCATTGCGCGACTTTTCCGCTTGATTATATTTGTAGCCAGATAATTAGAGTACCAATTTATGAAGACAATAGGCGATTGTAAAAATGCACGTCAACGTCTCGCTTTCTCCATATACAGAGTGATACGACCAGCACGCATTATATTATTCAGCCAATCAAATGTTACGGATTCCATTCGCAAGAAAACTGACCAATTAAGAGCCCTGATGTAGAATGACGTATTAGCTTCGATGACCAATCAGTGAATTACACACCATCTATCTCTACCCATTCCTTCCAAGCACTACCGAATGCCATCAACACGGAATCTCCACATCATTTTGCGTTATCTAAATCACGGTGTACAGAGGCGTTTTCAAACTTATCGGCCTTCGTTCAAGAAAATTGATGTAATTTTTGGGAAGCGTGTCTTTTTTTTTTAAAGGATTTATATCGTCGAATTAACGTGAGTTAAAGGCCTATCCCCGATACCGTAAATTAAGCACTTAAAATCTCTCATAAATTTCTCTCATTGTGAGGCCAAAGTGAAGGATCGATCGAATTGGTGAGGAATTAAGCATAATGGCGACAATGGCAAAACAGATCTTTGCAAAAGAACTACTGTGCATTGTTTTCGCCGGATTTTCAAGAGCCATTTTGACTGTTTCCGGATTTGAAACTTCATCTTATACAGGACAGCATGTGTTTTATGCCGCGGAAAATCGCGCACTCCAAGGGTTTCAACTTGAAAGAAAAACTGTGCGATCTCGTGTCATCTGCGGACGGGAATGCAGCATGGATGAACGTTGCAAGTCGTTTAACTTTAATGACTGCAGTAAACTGTGCGAGTTGAACCTTGCCACAAGACGAGAGCATCCCGAAGACTTCAATGCAACTCAAGGGAGTGTGTACTTTGATGCAGATGAGGACACTCCTCTCTACTCACTGACTGATAGCTCCTTGAATCGCTACAGAAGTTGCAAGATGCTCTTCGATGCCGGTTATCGCTCAAGCGGTATCCACACAATCTACCCAGAGGGATTCGGGAATGGCAGTCTGTGCGTCTTCTGCGACATGGAAACTGACGGCGGGGGATGGATCGTGTTTCAGAGGCGACAAGATGGCAGCGTGGACTTCTACCGTAACTGGGCCGAGTACCAGTCTGGCTTTGGCCATCTGTCCGGTGAGTTCTGGTTGGGCAATGACAACTTGGTGACTCTGACGTCTGATGATTCACGTGGAACATGGGAGCTACGAGTTGATTTAGAGGACTGGGAGAACAACACGGCATGGGCAAAGTACTCAGATTTCAAAATATCCCCGGGTGAGTACAATCTGAATATTGGCCAATACGATGCCAGCAGCACTGCCGGTGACTCTCTTGCTAGAAGCAATGGACTTCCCTTCTCAACAAACGATCATGACAATGATGTATGGGGAACACATAATTGTGCACAACTCCGCCACGGAGCCTGGTGGTTTGGTGGTTGCGCGGTCTCCGACTTGAATGGTGAATATTACCCAGACGAGCACGCAACTGGTAATGAAAAGGGCGTGTTTTGGCGAGACTGGATAGGCCATTCCTATTCTCTGAAAACCAGCCAGATGAAACTCCGTGCGATGCGACAATGAATACTTTCTGCGAAGTTTGTCATTAAGTTGGTTATTGTAAACTTTACCAAAGGCCGGGCATGGCATGGCAAATGTCCAAAATTACGGAGACGACCGGAGTAGCGAAAAGACGACCAGTATAACAACTGTGCATTGTTCGAAAAAAAAACTATAAATAGATATTTGGATGGCATACCTGAAATGCGGCTACGAGGCTTACAATACCACGTATCGGTACATGACGCATACACCATCTTCTAATCTTGGGCACTATCTGTCAATATGTGGTGCTCTTCTTGGTTGGCACAATATTGCCGACAGCCGTTATAAAAAACATCCTCGTGAAAAAGCAGCACTCGTGAGAAAATATCTGGGAGGTCAGAGGGAGATTAATATCCCCTTAACCTCGGGCGCTACGTCACTGACAGACGTTTGTAAATAACAGCACCCCAAAACGTCCTTTGATGACCAACTGTCCCCATCCATACGCTACCCCTGTTGGAAATTATTGTAAGTAATTGAGGATATCGAATGAGAGCACAGACATCGAATGAAACGACGGGCTAGCGTTTAATCTGGAAATAATTTCTTGTCAAGTCTAGAATTATTTGCGTCCTGACAACAATTCATTTGTCACATGGTAGACTGGTTTCCACCTCTATCAGAACCAGTGTACTTGCAGAACAGATCTGCTAGCGTGAAAAAAAGAAGTTTTTTAGGACGCCCACAATAGCAAAAACATGTAGGGGAAATGAAATTTTCCATCGCATTATTCAATATCTTTGGTTTAAAGTGAAAGATTGTTTAATGCAACAACACATTATTTAAAACTGTCTCGTGCTCACAAAGGGATAAAGGCCAACATTCAAATGTTTTAAGTCTTGTTGGAGAAACAAATACATGTATTGTGCAAATAAAATATTGCATCAGTGAAATATAGTTTAAAAAAATATATCAATTCAAAACTTTGGTTGCAGGTTTTTTTCTTCCCGCCAAAAGAATACAAGTAAACTTTTTTTCACTTATCCTCAAAGTCATCGTTGTCGTACGGAGGTTTGCGATTTCGGCTCTTGTACAATGTGGCTTTGTCGTTGCACTAAAACATAACTGAAAGAAGAAACAACTGTCAATTTAGTTTTTAAAAAATGATACAACTTGAAGTTCCCCTTTTTGTCATAAGTTAATTTGTAACTGAACATGCCACATAATGTAACGTATGCACTTTCTACTATTGGATACCAATTTTGAGAAAATGAAATACTCAAATTCAATTTACCTTGAAGGATATCTACTTATATGGAGTATAAAGCTACAGGGAGCAGAATACAAAATTAGTTTGCTTGGATCTTAACGTATATATGAAGCTATTTTGCCTGTACATTGCATAGTAATGACATATGACAATGAATAACCTGAGTGATAAGAACCGAACCATTATTGATTCTTATCAATCAGTTTGCTGTTTGCTATTTTGCTTGTAAATTGCGGCACAAAACAAAAAAGGTTCCAATGACCTATGACGTTGAATAAACCGAGTGAAAAGAACCAATCCAGAACTCAGTTTTTCCTATTTATTATGAGTTTTCTGTTTGTACGAATGTCGTAGTAGTGTTTAGAAGCTGTATGGATACTGGGCCACTCTCTAAATTCCAAAGAGTGAAATTAGGGACTAGACGTTTAAGAGTGAAAATCACTCTCATTTTCGATTGAATTAGTCTGAAAAAAAAAGAACCACTTCAGTCGAAGTTTGAGTTAAAACTCGATCTTTACGATTGAAGGAATTTCACTATTAAACGTCCAGTCCCTTGTTTCCGACTGTATGAGTAAATCTTCAATCGAATGGAGTGAATGTTCACTCTTTGTAATTTAGAGAGTATATTTAACAGATATGTCTACCTTTCCATCTGCAGCCTAGTATACAGGAATCGGCAAAAAAAGCATTGAAAAACTTTACCATTTTTAAAAGAGATCACTTGCCCCCCCGGTTCCTCCACCGAAGTTTGGTCTGCACCTTTAGTAAAGTTCTTCACCTGTGTCTAATGGCGGTCACTTAAACCTCAACTTGGCAACTTTCTCCCTGATGCAGAGCTACTTGTTCCACCCATGAATTGTTGCACATAATTCCTACAAATGAAGAATTTCAGCTCCAAGAACCCGAAGTTGTTCTATACAGAGTTATAACCCCAAAAGAAAAAATGTTAGCCCCCTCTCTCCATCTTATATGTATAGACGAATCCCAACTTAGCACTGAAACCTGGGCTCTCATGCAGTGCTCAGCCATTTTATGAATTTATGACCTTTTTTATCCTCTCAGCAAAATACGGCACTGAGGCCTTCTGCTTCAATTCAGTGCCAATTTCAAATTCCACTATAAATGCATGGGGATGGGAGAGTGGTCATCCAGTCGAAAGAGAGCAGCACGCAATGTGCACAGTTTGTCGAGATCTACCGACTGATCTTTACAATACTGACTAGTTAGCTTGTTGCCATTACGGTTTACAAGTTATGTCGCTTTTTGACCAGTTCGCCAAGGTCTTCCAATAATGGCCGCCGATATTATGAACAATCTTCGCACACATTCAGCCGTGCAAATTTTTTTTAGGCGGGCTGCTCAAATGTCATGCATAATTCAGTTTTCCCTTGCATCGTTGCAAGTCACTTAATAGGTTTTTGTTCTCTCTTTTTTTCCCCTTAAACTAAAATTATCTCAAAGATAAATTTAGAGAAGAAATACAGTCGATGAAAATGAGCAGCGACGACGTGGATTCGAACCAGGGATCTTTGTGTCCATAGCTCATCTCGCTATTACTAGGCTACTGTGTGGTAGCTCGACAATATCCGTACTTTAAAATAAAAGAAACTAAAATCGTTTATAGATTTACAGGCTAGAAACATATTTACCGCATGGGCAAAACAATCAGTCGCAAGCTATCAGATGTGACTTTGTCATTGGCTTTAGGCCGTGGGCCGTTTCGTCTTAACTTTTTAGTGGCAACTTAATTTCTCGGTTACAAGTAGTTTGGAAGATGTTAATTGATATTTTACAATGTGCAATCACATCGTTTGCACAATTTAGAAATAAAGGGGACTCTTTCCCCCAGTGTATAACTGTACCACATGAGGGCGATTGCGATGCATCGCTGACATTGCGTACCATCCTCGCCTCCATGTGCGCGTGCGCGTTCCTCCATTAACCCCTGGCCGTGGGGAAAATGTAAACGGCTACGCTGACTGGCTGAAACAGAGCTTACTGCGCGCGTAATTCGAAGTCTGCGCGCCCTGTGCCCGCTCATAATTATCTCCTACACAAGTAACGTGTATTCGTACAAGTATAACATAAGCATTCTGGGTGAAGTGGAGAAAAAAATAGTGTGTCACTCATTTACTTGAAACTGAATGACGTGTGATTTACTTGTGATTGCTTTTTGTTGTAAAGGGACGACAGAGGTACGCAAATTTAATATAAATCCTTATAACGCCACGTCGAAATCTCATCATGCTCATGTTTGAAAGGATCGATTCTCCAAAAAGAAACTTTAAGCGCCGTGTCGTGCGTTAAATTATCGGACTTACATTATGCCGACTTCCTATTTATCTGTTGTGTCAAATTTGAAAGCATTTGAACTTAAAACATAGAAGTTATTGATTGAAAACTGACTAGAAACGTAAAATTGAAATGTACACTTTTTGCGGCATTAGCTTGTAAATTAGTGGAGAGAGGGTGACCACCAACCTTTCGGATTTCCATACGGCAACGATTTAAGTAAAGATGAGACCTTGGTGATCCTTGCAAGGAATAAAAACGAAATGTTAAAGAAAACAGTTTCCACGAAGTATACTTGTTTTGGTGCGGGATGTAGAGGGGCGTCATTAAAGAAGAAAGGACAAGGTAAGTGCATTATTTATTGTGGTCTCGTGCAGGATGGTAGAACGTGTGAATACAGATTCTTTTCTACAACTGTTCTTTCGATACTGGACTAATATATATACGTTTGACATACAACCAAAACTCAGTAAATAATTTTGTAGATACGGACATTTCTGTTATGATCACGATTTCCCTTTTCAAGAGCCACACAGACCATTGTTCGCACTATAGGTTCACAGATCCCCTTCATCCAAATACAGCTACAGTGCCTTTATATAAATCCCGTGTTTTCGCTCCACAAATGCGAACTCACACCAAGCCTCATCTAAATAAAGTGCTACGGCCAACGTGCTCAAGCCGTTATCGGCAAAGCGATAACACGGCTTTGTAGAACCATTTACAAATTGAGTTCGACACGGCTCTGTGCTTTGGATACATAAGGTCTACCCTAATAAATTGGAGGCCATTAAGATAATTTGAAACTGATGGAAGCAGTGCCAATCAAAAAGAAGTAATGCCAAATATAGCTGTTTTTCGGGTCAGTTGTTCTCGTGGCCTCTAAGACACCAGATCATCAATCTCATTTACAGAGACGCTATCAGTTTTTAGGTTTTGTCCAGTTTCATATTGACAAAGAAGAGCTGTTTGGAAACTAAGGCAAACAACACCAAAAGGCGCTTCATTTCGTATTCACTGATATTTCATGTTATGTTTGAAATTAAAGTGATTTCCAGTTTAAATATGCTGTTCTCCGGGGCTAGTTTCACTCATTGTGTTTGTTTACCACTTGGTTCTCTTCATTTGTCCGGGTTCTTCACCGTTTTGTTCATTTGTTTGTTTCCTGTTGTTGTTTTTTTGCCTTCTTTCCTGATTTTAGGTCTGTGTATCTTTTCCTGCATCTGGCTGATTTGTTGTTTATGTAATTGTGCAATTAACACAATTTTTTCAGTAAAGAAGGACTCTGTGGGCATACCTATTTCTCATACATTGTAAAGTCCGCCATCAGGTCAAGGTTGGTAGGATAACGCAGTCCTACCGTCATTTGCTAGTCATCGAGATAATTAGGAACTAGCAACAGAGTGCAAAACAACAAGCGAAATAATGGCCTGCACAGAAAACACAAAGTGAGTAATTTGACTCAATATCGTAATAATTGAGTCATTTTGCCCGTGTAGTGAGACAATTTGAGCCAAAGTGTGTCACTATACGGACAATTGCAGTATAAAGGACTGGCCATTCGAGATGTAAACACAGTTATTGTGAAAACGGGAACTCAAGATAAACACATTGTATTGCTATGAAATTTCCTCTAATATTTTGCCATGGTATTTGATAGGAAAATCTAGAAAATTGACAGGAACCGCCGAAGAATGAATCTAATATAATTTAAGGAAATTGCAGTATGAAGAACTGGCCATTCCAGATGTAAACACAGTTATTGTGAAAACAGGAACTCAAGATAAACACATTGAATTGCAATGAAATTTCCTCTAATATTTTGCCATGGTATTTGATAGGAAAATCAATTTTTTTACGAAAGAGGGCGCGCTTGCCGTTCAAGATGTTAACACAGTTATTGTGAAAACAGGAACTCAAGATAAACATATTGTAGTGCAATAAAATTTCCTCTAATATTTTGCCATGGTATTTGACACGAAAATCTAAAAATCCTTTTTATTTCAACGACCTGTCAGTTAATAACGAAGACGTGCGGTTTCAATTTAAGCATCAGTCCTAATTGAAAAGACGAACCGATGATAAACGTTTGCCTCCAACGATAGAGATTTTGTTCCGGCGATTTTGATGAAGATAGGTCAGGCTGAGGCTTGTTGTTTGAACGGTCACAATGACTACACTTTTTTAACAGAAGGCAACCATTTATTCCCTCAATGTCATGGTAGACAGCTCGGCCTACTTACGGACACCGTATATTATAACGGAGTACCAGGAATAAATTACCAACACGCTCAAACCGACGCATAATACGATCACGAAGGCCGACGAGGGAAGTCGGATCAGCAAGAGTATTACTAAACAAATTCAAAGGTCGTTACGCTCAAAAAACGCATCACGATCCGAACTCTATACCTATTTCTGAACTTTTTGTTAATTTGAAACAAAGAGAACAAATTTTTTTAATATTTTAGAATGAACGTCGTCATTTAATAAGTAAGCCTTCAATATTAAAAGTAAGGCCTCATTTATTTCTGTGTTTTGCAGACAATGCATAAAGGCTTGCATGTTTTAATTTGTATACGGCGTCCAAATTGTTCATGGAGTGTTTCATGGATGACATTTCAAACGATCGGGAACAAAAAAAGGTGATAACCAATCACAGGTGGAAACTTAGTTCTGATTCCAGGGTTAAAATCAAGATTAAAGTGATGGTAGACGTGGTTGAAGGTTGAAGGTTGAACAAATTGTTTGGAGGCATAGGCAAACAGTGCACGTTTGATAAATCGGGAAAACTCAATCATGGATTGGTTCTTGTCACTCGGTTTATTCAACGTCATAGGTCATTGGAACCTTTTGTTTTGTTCTGCGATATACAAGCAAAATAGCAAACAGCAAACTGAGTGATAATCAATAATAGTTTGATTCTTATCACTCAGGTTATTGAACGTCTCAGGTCAATACTAACGTTATCTATTGCAATATACAAGCAGAAAAACAAAGGTCCACTTTAAATAATCAAGTTCGCGCTCCATTTAGTTTCACACTCATATAAGCTGTAGTAGTCATTTAGATTTGAATTATTTCAATTTGTCACAATTAGTATCTAACAGTAGTTAGTGCATACGTTACATTATGTGATATGTTCACTTTCAGATTATCTCATGATAAAAATATTTGGATATCAACTTCTTATTATTATTTTTTTTACACTCGTTTTAACTAAAAACATTTCAGTAGCAAGTACAAAACGGCATATATCGTAAAAGCACTGCCTGATAATTCGACGAGAAACATTTGTATGTCTTGCTGCACAGCCGAGGATAAAATGAAATACCCCGATATCACACTGTAGATAACATTACATGACCTGGAGGCCCGGCAGGGATGGAATTTGACAGTACCTGGACAGAATTTGGTAGAATTGGACCTCATGCCACGTCAGTGGCTCGTGATTGGTCAATTTTACTGCAAGTGACAAACTTAGCCTTTGATTGGCTGAACTCATAGACGTGTAATCTTATCGCAAGCAAGAAGCGTTACGATATTAATATTTTAGAATGACCACTGTCATTTAATAAGGCCTCAGTATTAAAAGTAAGGCCTCATTTATTTCTTTGTTTTGCAGACAATGCATAGAGGCTTGCATGTTTGTAGGTTGGTATACGGCGTCCATTTTTTTCCATGGAGTGTTTTTGTTTTTGCCGACGCCACATTGTAAAACACGATTTTGCAAAGTGATAATGTGATAATTCGCTGATGACGGGGTGCCGGTGCTGTACCAGGCACAGTTATCCATTCAAGCTTAATCTGTCGTTCTAATCTTACTTGGTGAATTTAAAACTTGATAATGAATTTACATGCAAAACATTAATTTCAGAAAAAAGAAAGCAAATCAGAAACAAATGTACACAAATAAATGACCTTTACAAAGCCAAGCTATAAACATACTCTCTGTGGCATCGGGGTATAAAGACTACATCATTTCTTTTTAATCGATAACATCAAACTACGAAACTTTTCTTGAGGAATTACTATCAACTGCTGTTGATTAGTCGAGCTCTAAGCCACGATGGTTAGTCAGCTCTAAGCCACGATGAAGGGGTCGACTGCACCAGCCCCACGCCCCAGCGATGCACGATCCTAAGCTACGCAAGCATCCATGACGCCATAGAGCCTTTACTCCGGTCCAGACCAAGCTAGCTGTAGCAATGAAACAAGATTTAATAAAAAACAACTGTTACTAGTTGCCAGAAAGCATTTATATACAATATTTATTTTGATTTTGAAAGCTACATGTAAAAGCTCGTACGACTATCATGCAAAACCATACAAAGAGTAATTTCGTCACCGTTTTCACGAAGAGCCACATTATGTGGATTTTGAAGACAAAGTGTTTTCGATTGGAAATTAATGATGTTTTGTTTACAGAAACATGTCAAAATGGCTCAGTACAATGTTTTAAGGCAAAATAGTGAAAACAAATCTAAATTGAAATGGTGATTTTGACATGATTTTTTTGGTTATTACCCAGAATTAATGCAAGATGTAAAGATATCGTTTGGATGCAACAGGTAGAAAGAAATAGATTTTTACCAATGACAAAAACGATGACGCTGAGGTTCATTAGGACAAGAACAACAGAGAGGACCTCCTTTCTGTTTTGGCTTGATTGAGCATCCTCGCTCGGCAACAGAAGCAGCGACGCAGCCAACAGGTTCAGGAAGATGGTACCAAGCGAGCACATCTGCAGACGATGCTCTACAGCATCCTTCATGGGTTTCACGTAAGCGTGCAGGAGCAGAAAGACCACCGATATGACTATGGTGGCGAACATGGTAAAATGATCGTCAGGCCCGTACAGCAGCACAAACAGCGTCTGGACAATCTTTCGGGCCAGCTCCAGAATCTCCCAGTACCAGAACCTTGGCTTGTAATTCTCGCACAGGAAACTCTCCCAATTGAATACAGCCTGGACTGGCGGGTCCGAGTGTAGGAGAAGTTCATCATCTGTCTCACAAGCCACCTCGTTTCTGCAACTGGCGACATAACCGGCATCCAAACGACATTGACTAGCATCATCCAGCAAAGGCTGATCCTCACTTTCCCGTCTACCACCGACAGCCCCGGTCTTCTTCCGTTTTCTGACATTCCACCACAAGAGGAGAAACAACACCAAGGGAAACCCAACAACGTAGAAGAGGGAGGCCTCAGCTGCGTAGTTGAAATGAACATGCTGCTGCGTTTGGCAATCGATCGAATAATCGGCTCGAAGTCTGGTCACATTGAGGGTGTCTTTTTCGTCAACGTAGAAGAGGTGACACCCAGAGGGTAATAATGTGAGGATAACACTAGACAGGCTGGGGTAGGAAATAAAGAGCAGTATCACCACAAACATGTAACACCTCTGCTTGGTCTGCGACAGAAGAGCTTTTCGCTCCGCACAAGGAGTTTTCTTTGCTTTCAAGTAACACATCTTGGAGCTGTAAAAACACCAGGCGGCGAGCAGAACGAACACCACAAATACAATGCCTACCAGGAACTCAATGTAAATATTAGGATAAGTGAAGTTGGGGAAATAGCACCTGGGACTGATAAACAGTCGCATGATGTTCACCTCCAACAGTCTAAAGATGGATCCAACGCTTGTTAATATATTCGGCCAGGCAATGTCATCCAGCGCTGAGAATATCTCCCCCATGACCTGGTAGAAACCCAGTAGGATCTTCCCTCGAGCAAGCAGCATGCTGACGGCAGACCGACCGCTTCTTTGGACCTTACGTGCCTGCCAAGCTATGATGATGACAATCAGAGCAATGACCACGCATACAGCAATGACTTCAAGCAGGAACCACCACCATTCGGGACACTCGAAGCAGTGATCAAACCAAGGGTAATAGTAAAGACTGCATTGGGAGCAAAGCCAACCCGTGTAGCCTTCCTCGCATTCTGCCTTGATACCACCCAGCACAGCATTCACGCATGACTCACTGCGAGGACATTTTTGCACCTTGGGTAACACACCCCCAAACCTCTTGCTTGTGTTGTCATATCTGGAATCTTCAGTGCGCACATTTTGGACGAATCGCTCGTAGGATAGGTAGTTGTCATCCGATAAACCCCAGTCCCAGGTCCACCAGAAGCCAGACAGGAGGTGTTGGTACTCTTCTGAGCAGTTGACTCCTTCGGTTGGACACGGATGGCATTCACCGAACCGGTCGGTACGGTAGAAACCATCCAGACAGGGACAGGCGCGGAAGCCAGCGTGAAGGTTTTTATTGGTACCTGTAGGACACACCGTGCAATTTGCAGGACTGATACCAGGGTGCGCCTCGGGCGTTACGTAGGTGCCATTGTTGCATCTCTGACAGTTGATACCTTCAGAGGGGTCAGCCACTTGCCCCGTCTTGATTTGGAAAAAGCCCCCTGTATTGTGAGAAGAAAACAAAAATCCGGGACAAAACAGTTTGACGATATGACAAAATCACGTTTTACATTGGTAATTTTTTTGATACACAATAGCCTATACTGTTATTGAAAAAAAGTAAAACGTACAGACTAACCTCGTACCGCCAAATTAAAAATCCCAGTGTACATTTTAATTAATACTTCGTCCAAGAGCGTAAATCCCGGGGGTGGGGAGGACATATGCCTACGTGCCCTCCCACCTTTGACCGGAAAGAATGGGTCATTGGTTCATCCACCACCAACATTTTGTGGTTAGAAACCGGTTTTATCTCCATGTTGCTGGTCAGAAACTACTACATCAGTAGAAACTACTACTACTCAATATATTAAATACGTAACTACGATGTCGGGTTAGTTAAGGTCTGGGACCACGTATTGCGAGCAATCTACACAAGCTCAAATAATCCTGTTTAGTCGGCCTTTCAAATTGTTAATTTTAATAAAAAGAATAGCGAAAGGAAATGTATTGTATGTAAAAGATCGCCACGTAAGGTTTTATGTTCGGTATTTTATTGCCCTGTGAAACTCATAATTGTTTGGCATCTTAGAAACCACTTTACAAGGGAAAAAATCACCACACCAAAACAAATTTCCAGAACATGAATTTTCAGCAAAAGGGTTTGCTTAATACACAAAACACTAGTAAAAGTAAAAACCTCCTGAAATTACGAGAGTAAAAACAGTTAAAGAGTTAAAGAGGAAGTGCATGGTTGCCAGGACCGATTTCGTATGGTTTCCGAGGGTGCAGTCAAGTTCCCGCCGCACCTCTAGATGACTTATAAATATAGCACATTCTATGGGAGTGAAACGTACGTGACAATGTTTAAGCTAAGTTGACTTGGACTGGTCATTGGAATGAACTGTTTTACCTGGAGGGCATGCAATACAACTTTTGTCACCCCAAGAGACCCCGAAAGTGCCCTGTTGGCAGGGCGTACACAAATACCCAGCATCAGATTGGACACACGTTAATCCCGAGACGCTAAATATCGTTTCCTGGTCAGGCGTCACCAGTAGTGGCTGGGCGAATCCATCACCAACTAATTCGCTGAGAAAGCAACATGAAAGAAAAGAATCATCATCAGTTTTGGAATGACCAGACTGGAGCATATTCATTTTCTTACAAACCCGTTGACAATCGTTGCGCTTGAGAAACAGCAAAACTAACGGCTGACACGTGGCGGTGAATGGACCAGTGAAAAATCGGCTCTCGATCATGAATATGTATGAGGTATGTATTTTTTTTCTAGCGCGTGGCCCTATTCACGCGACTTTTTAGCGTGTGCATGGCACGTGCATTTAGTTGATCGATTCGTTTGATATCGCCGCAGGACGTTCGCGCATCGCGTAATAACGTAGCGCGTGCAGCTTTTGTCTAATGAAAACTCACAGCGTAAAAGTACAATATACTTTGCTAGCATTCCAGTCACTTTTAAACCTAGACACCACAAGTTTTTAAATGGACTTTACGTCCTGGAATGATTTTAATTGGATAGGGCATCAAAAAAATAGGATATCATCGTCCACAAAGCCATCCTTCTAGCGAGAAACCATGTGAGAACGAATTTCGGGGGTCATAATTTTGACCGTCAACCTTTTGCCGTATGCCTACATTATTATATCAATACTTACATTTCGAGGTCAGATCTATTTGTGAATGGCGCAAACTTCAAAGTGTTGTCGATTGCTCTAAAGAAAAAAACAGGAATATAAACTGTGATACCTATACAATAGATGGCGCCCTTTTGTTCAATGTATTGGCCGTCCAACAATATGAAACTGTCCGGGGGGGGGGGTTAGGGCCCCCATTTTTTGCATGTAAATACTGCCCTTTTCCATTCAAATGCCCTTTTATTCGCCAGCGCTTACCCCCCCCCCCGAATATTTGGAAAGAATGCTCTTTTTTTTGTTAACAAGTGCCCTTTTTTGTGCCATCAGGCCTTTTTTTTTATTTCGGGCATGTATTTCCCTGCAAAGCACCATATAGTGTCCGTAAGTGTCGACAGAAAGTACCAGCCCCCAGCCCCCCCCCCCCCCCCCCCGACACACACTATTTGATTTCACTGAGGCCAAGTGTCTGGGGGAAAATGTGTCTACATTTCAGCACGGATGTGCAAGTGCCATTTTCAAGATTTGTTTACCCCCAATAAAAATGACCTTGCTACGCCCATGCATGGAGGCTGAATTTTATCTCCATGGGTAAGTTTCCGAGGGCATTAGGAATAATGTTCCGCGCGAAATGTGCAGCGCAGTACATGTGCCGCGCTGCCCTGCATACGCGCGGCTTCTCTGAGAGACGTTCATTCCCAAAGCCACTAGATTTGGGTATGAAACGTCAACCGTCATAGCTCCCTGTTAAGGGTCACGGCATCTAGTTTCATCAAAATCTATCAAAGCATGTACAATCTTATTAACACCCAATTTACCCAAAAGCTTAACCTAAACTTTTATAAATACCGTCATTATTTACCCCTGTTGACCTTTGAACTTAATTTATCTTGATTGATTTGAACCAGCCCCCAGCCCCCCCCCCCCCCCCCCGACACACACTATTTGATTTCACTGAGGCCAAGTGTCTGGGGGAAAATGTGTCTACATTTCAGCACGGATGTGCAAGTGCCATTTTCAAGATTTGTTTACCCCCAATACAAATGACCTTGCTACGCCCATGCATGGAGGCTGAATTTTATCTCCATGGGTAAGTTTCCGAGGGCATTAGGAATAATGTTCCGCGCGAAATGTGCAGCGCAGTACATGTGCCGCGCTGCCCTGCATACGCGCGGCTTCTCTGAGAGACGTTCATTCCCAAAGCCACTAGATTTGGGTATGAAACGTCAACCGTCATGGCTCCCTGTTAAGGGTCACGGCATCTAGTTTCATCAAAATCTATCAAAGCATGTACAATCTTATTAACACCCAATTTACCCAAAAGCTTAACCTAAACTTTTATAAATACCGTCATTATTTACCCCTGTTGACCTTTGAACTTAATTTATCTTGATTGATTTGAACCTACCAGATCCACATCTTGCTAGAGAGTTTATAATTCGGACGAATCCATACTAAAGGTTAAATGATACTATAAGGTTTGCATGGTTTGCGGTAACACCATGTGAATGATATCTCTTTTGAGCTGTGTGGTTCTGAGAAGAACCAGTTGTTTTACTCGACGTTTCGAACAATATGCTCTGTTTGTCATCCTAATGGTATTTAAGGAGTAAGATATTCTAAAATCACTTTATCCTGAGCGGTAAATTGACTTACACATAACATGAGTTCCCCAGATCTTGCCAGACAGAATTGGAAACGGTCTTCAAGTGACTGTCGTAGATTGATCTGGAAAAAAGGTAATATTTCAATTCAATGCCTTTCTAATAAGGGAATGTCTCAGAAAATACAACTATCACTGTACGGTTTGAATGCTGGAGCATGTAATACTTACACACGTCGGAGAGTGTGGTTCACGGTCGCAAATGGCCGCTCCCCTATCGACGAAAGTTTGGTCTGAAAAATGTACCTTACATTCAAGTAAGAAAATAAACAACAACAATGAATTTCTGTAGAATGTAGGCCATTGTTAAAGATAATTGAAGCTTTGCCTGAGTAAGCATAGCATACACTGTGTGGACTTAATAAACAGAAATGGCAACACAGTGCACGATAAAGAATGAGTGTATTGCACTTTCTGAAAAATAAGAATTCCGATGTTTAAATATGTATACTCACAGATTTATCAAGGCGGTATCATAAAACAGCCAGTCCACTAGTTCAGTGATTGGGTTGTCAAATATAAACCTAAAATAAAAAGAAATATTGGAGTTCATATATTTTTTCCCCAATAGTTTGTAAAGACTGTTCTTTTCCATTCAAGTGCCCCCTTTTTTTTAACCAGCGTTTACCCCCTCCCAAATATTTTTTAAAGAGTGCCCTTTTGTTTTTGCACAAGTTCCTGTTTTTACCAGCTTCTTTGTACGAATGCCCTATAATTTGGAATTTCGCGCGACCGTCAGCAATTATGCCGCCCTGGAAAGCGCCATCTATTGTCCGATAGTGTGTGTGATCGTCCGGTTTAAACAGCCCCCATTGGAAGATGGTACCTGCCCCCCCCCTTTGATTAAATGGAGGCCAACGATCCGGAGTAGAAATGTCTACATTTCTGCGGGGATGTGTGAATGCCCTTGCACGAAATTCTCCCCCACCCCCAATAACAATGACCTTGCTACGCCCATGATACGTCTCTGATTTAAGCAACTTTCTTTTCCTCCGTGGTTAAGCTCGCCTTCTGTGCTTACTTTTACGGTCTCTATGAAATAGATTAAGGCTCGGTAAGCAGAAATTCGACTATTAAGCAGCGCTATGAAGTTGGGCCCAGCTTGTCAAGTCGAAGTTTAAAAGGTTTCAAGGTTTTTGAAATTGGGTTTTTGCCCTTCGCAGACGTATTTTGTTAGCTGTTTCGGTAATTCAAGCTTTAGGCCAAAAAAAATAAGTCTCCGGTTTCTGGTATGGAGCTTGTCCAAAAAGTGGTGCGGCGACGCGGCTTTTTTTTTTTTTACCTAACTTTTTTGCTTCAAATGTCGGCTGATGACTGCAAATGGTGCCCGACTAAACTTAGTGCAAATATATGGGAGTACAGAGAGGCCACATAAAGCTTATTCTCCATCATAACCCCATCTAAAAACACGTTAAAATTGTGCAGTAGCAGGATTCCAGTCAAACCAGTGAGTTTGGCGGTTTTGAGACATCATCTTTCATTGAAAAAAAAACTTTTTCATTTTGCCGACGTGCATGGCTACGGCGACGCGCGCGCATACCAGAAACCGGAGACTTTTTTTTGGCCTTAGTTCAGTTGGATACGAAAAGGCCAAGAGAAGCTACACATTATTTATTACCATGCACCTTCCAGAGCCGACCGCACATATTGTGTTCTATGCGGTGATTTTATTCATGAATGATTCAGTGGTCTACACTTGCATAGGAATGGCATGCATTCTTGGCATTTAACCAAACTATGGATATGTCTATAAATATCTCTATATATGTTTCAGGCGTACAAAGTTAACATTTAATTCCTGTAATAGAGATATCTCCATTACTTTTAAAGATATCTCTATTTGAAATAGAGATATCTCTACTATGAGAGGAAATAGTGATTTCTCTATTAGTAATAGATATATCTATGAAAGTAATAGAGATATCTCTAGTACAGAAATTAAATGTTAACCTTGCACGTCTGAAACAGATATCTCTATTCTTAATAGAGATGTCTCTTGTTTGGATTAAAAGTCAGAATGCACGCCATAAATATGCTTGTTTATGAAAACAAGAACAATGACGTGAACACCTATGATTCGATAGATCCTTGGTTCGGAGGGAAAGATTCTGATAGCATAAGTGTGCGTATCTCGCAGTGATTCCCTAAAAAAAAAAAAAAAAAATAAAACTGGCAACCTCGTCCTTTGGGCTTATTTTAATTTTCAAGCAGCGTGTCAAAGTACTAATAACCCAAAGGGTGTCAAAGTACTACTAATAAAGTTAAGTTTTGACTGAGCAAACTTTAATGACAAACTTACAGTTCTTTAAGCTGATAAAGTCCCGCAAACACCTTAGCATGCAGGACACTGATTTTGTTCCGATGTAAGTAGATATATCGGAGCCCAGTCTGCGACCGGAAAAGTCCAGTTGGAATACAAGTCAGTCGATTGGACGACAAATCCCTAAAAGCAAACATAAATATCTGAATTAAGAAGATGTCGTCAACATTACATTTCTATTCCTACTCTAAAGCATGCAGAACACTCTATAAAGGATCGAGTAAAATGTTTTAACAGCATTTTACACAAGCAAGTAATTAAAACAAATCGTTCTAATCATTTTACATTTTCGTTGAAAAGTTACCCACGCCGTTCACCCGCATTGCAGACGAATACGTCAAATAAAAATAACACTTTATTTGGGATTTCAGGGAGCATTTGCGTCGTCGTCATACTGCCAGAGCGTACCTTGCATTACTCGATGTAGTAAACAAACTACATCAGAGTCTTTATAAACAAAACGTGTGGCGCTGATATACTTACAGATAATGCATTGCTGTTATGTTGCAAAACGCATCCTCTGGAAGGCCTTCAGAACTGAGTTTGTTCCTGGCTAGTCCACTGAAATCGAAGATCACAGATTGCAATATTATCAATAATATTTTTTTTTCAATTTAATTTTTCTGATGCTTAAGGTGTTACTTGATTAGTGTTTTATGGATCCCAATTGAAATAAGATGCATGTAATTGGATTAAGACGAAATCAACACCCCTTTGTTTGTTAATTTTTGTGTTGTTATGGTCAATCTGTTTAATGTTGCATGCTGCTGATAGTGAATAAAATCAAAGTGACCTTCAATGTGTTTTAGTTTGACAGAAACCTCGCACATTTTGTTTTCATCTGACAGTTTAAAGAAACACCCATCATTATGTTAGCAGCCTGTTATGTCAGCCTGGATCCGCTGAAAAAAAACTTCTACAAATCTAGACCATAAAGCAGTGGTGTACCTACATGGCGTGGCGTGACGTGCCCCCCGCCCCCCCCCCCCCCCGGTGGAGTTCCGTTTCCCCGGGTGCCATCTCTCCTAAGGCCAAAAAATAAAATACTCGGTACTCTGGTCAGTGCGCGCGTCGATTTAAATCATGCGCGTCAACCTTTTTTCTTCTTCAAATTAACACGGAAGCTACAACAGCACCCTCTATTGCCGCACCTCCTCAAATTTTTGTACCAAGGAGCACCAAGGAATGGGGAAATTGCACCAAAGCAAATGAATAAGGGCACCAAGGCAAATTATGGAGGACACCAATGTATAATGAGGACACAAAAAAGCAAAATAATACCCACCTTGTCTGTACAATTCAAGCTTAAAAAAAAAAGCCACCAAAAGAAAGAAAGAAAGAAAAAAAAACACGTCGCCGCATCAATCCCGGAACTTCAGCCTGACCAGAGACAGACTATTTTTTTTTGGCCTAAGAAATCTTAAACTGCACACCAACCATTAAGCATTATTTTCAGTGTTTCCTTTGAAAAATTGGTGCGCCCCCAGGACGTAGGCCATAGGGACATTGCCTACTGTGCCTATTAGATAATCTGGGCATGCACTTACTACTTTCCGATACTTATCGAATGTTCAAATATTGGGATAAAGGTGAGCTCGTTTCTATCCAATGCTCTGCAAAAGGGAGAAAGAAGAAATAATGAGTTGATTAATGGGTGAATGGGTCAAAATGTGACCCGCGATTCCGGGTCAGATTTTTCTGTCATTTCCTATTTTTCGATACTAAGAGCAGGGGTTTGAATTATTCCCGATCCCCATCCCAAAAGTAGTCGAGAAGGTTGTTGCCAGCCATTGATTAAGAATCACTGGGAAGCGGAAAGCTTGAATTTTGTGATCTCCGATGTTCAAAAATTTGCTTCATAAAATCAAACTCGCACCTAAGGTTTTAAACCAATTTTTGCTGATCACAAAATGCTCTCGAAATATATTGAGTACGTAACTACACTCTCAGTCAATTAGTCATGTTTAATGAGGTCTGGTACCACGTGCCGCGAGTTATCCAAAACACTTAAACAACACTGTTTAGTTAGCTTTTAAAATTGCCCATTTTTATCGAAACAAAAAAAAAATCGCTCCGTGAATTTTATGTACAATTGTTCATTATTGCATTGCCCTGTGAAAACTTTGAATGTTTAGAAATCATAAACTAAAAAAAGTGGCACGTGAACAATAGAACTAAGATTTTGCCCCGACATGAGTTTTGCCCCGACATATCATTTGTAGGAATTGCTTAATACAGAACATTATTTTAAAGTAAATAGTTCTCATTATCACTCGCGTAAAGCAGATAAATTTGTAATCTAACGAGAGGAAGAGCCCGGTTGCCAGGGCCGATTTCGTATAGTTTCCGAGGTCGCAGTCAAGTTGCCGCCGCGCTCACTGTTAACTTTTAAATATCGCGCGTTCTACGGGAGTGAAACGTATGTGTGTGGGACGCACATTCCGTGTTCCACTCGCGCTCGTGGCATACACAATAATTTGAAAAACTTACAGGTCGTAAACTTCTTTCACTCCCTTCAACGCACCCGGAGAGACCCGTCGTAGTTTATTTTGAGAAAAAAACCTGCAAAACATGTTAAAGAAATATGAAATAAACATCAACAAAATCAAATTGCTGTTAAGGTCGAAATGCGCTTTTCATTAGGTGGACCTACGACCGACACAATAGGAAGGGCGCTATTTGGAATGGGTAAATGTGGGTAATGCAAAAGAGTCAGTATATTACGTCTCAATAAGGTCAATGGTCCTGTTTTAATAAACAAGAGCCTAGGATTAATCAAACACCAGCACATGGGTTACCAAGCTTAATTTAAAGCCTATTTTTATATCAAAGGGCAGCTGAATTATCTGTTCATTACTTAAATGAATCTTCCTTCTGCAAGTCATAGCCACTACTTACAGCCGGAAGGGTGTGATGCCTTTGTCAGGGACACCGTCTGTTGTCGGATCTAGAAACAGACCAGACGGAATTTCCTCCAAGTAACATTGAACCATATGTCTGCATTTTCACAGAAGAAAAAAAGGGTATATGTTACAATCACCATCAAGTCCACTCTTTTAATAACATGTCACCCTAAAAGTCCATAATGCTATGCCCACAGAACATGGGCAATGTGAAATTCTCCTGGTGGGATTTTGGAATTATCATTTGCTTGCTTTGGTGGCACAAAAGGAGTCGTCAAAATAAAGTCCGAAGTTCTGTTGGCAGAAATTTGATTGTTTTTAACTGGTGTCCTGACATCAACAAATCTGAAATTCGTCTATAGCAAAAACAATATGAGAATATTGGGTTGACCCGTTTGTGGCTCCTCAATTCACATTCAGGCATTAATCTAAACAAAAACATGGAAGACAATAATATATGCTTACAACCTGTTCAGCCGAAGCATGCCCCCAAACGTATGTGGCCGTAACACCTTCAAGTCACATATAGACACGTTTCTGTTTGATTGAAAAAAAAGGAAGGCTGTGAACCAATTGCAATTCAGTATTTAGGATTAGCGCGACACATGAATCAGCCATCTTGAATCGAAACTGCAATTAAAATGTTAATTCAAGTAGTTGGGAACAACATTTCCCTTTCTTCCAATTCGTCTCAGAAGCAAAAACCTATTTTTCTTACGAATAATAAACAAAACAAAACAAAAATTAACATAGAAACAATAAAATGTGTATTTATGTATACTAAGCTGAATTATGGCTTACAAATTGTTTATACTTCGTAGTCCCGCAAACCCTCCAGGTTGTACTTGCGATATTTTGTTTTCATCCAAGACTCTGTTGATGGAGACAACATTTACAAACAAACAGAAAATGAGATTGTTAATGGTGTTTGAATTTGGAATAAAGGACAAGTATTTTCGTTATGGATTATTATTATTATGAGATCCTTAACTGTTGTGGCGTACAAACACTAAACGTATCTTTACTATTAATTATGAAATCAAACGAAGAAATTACAATGTGCAAAATTAGATAATATACAAATATGTATTGATCGTTTCTTTCCATTTGCAAAATTAAAAAACATAGATTTTTGAATTTATATCCATCACATTTTACCCGGAGCGTCGACAGAATGTATGTACTGCAGCAAGAAAGGACCGTATAGTGTCATTAGAAACCACTGACCAACTGGATTAAAATACTTATCTTCATAGCATTGGAAGCAATTTATAGGGATGCATTAACTACAATTAGGCTTTTGACCACAAAGAAAGCATTCTCATGTATACTCACAGATCCAACAGGTTAGTGCATCTTTTGAAAGTATCTGTCTCGATGACTTGCAGACTGTTGTTTCTAAAATCACTGTGGATAAAGTTCAAGTTGTAGTTTCAAACTGTTCTGCGTGGGAGGATAATATTCTTATGTTGTAAGAATTGTGTGAAGTAAAAACTTTGAGTGCTTAATATAGGTCTTATAAATAACGAGAATCGGATCTGCATGACAAAGCAAGTTCGGGTGCACAGTTCCATCGCTGGTAACCAATAGCTACGCGCATCACAATGTACAACGGGGAGCCAGGACCAACAGTTTGTAATGACGCTTTGTCCGTCGTTTGACTAGGGGCGTTCGCGCGTTGTTATTAGTGCGCAGTCGTAAGTAACGTCATGAACCATCAAATACTCGATTAGTAATGATCCAGCTACGAGCTTCCTCCAGCTGGATGTAGCCCGTCATGGGCGTCGCCAGCATGTTTTCTAGAGGGGGGTAAAAGCACGTTTCCCCCCAAAAATTCCCTGTACTTTTCCAGCACATTCTCAATTTATCCCTTTGCGAGGATGGGCAGGGACATTTACACCCCGACCAATTAATTAACAGCAATATGACTTCGCGCCTCATTTTCTTTCTTTCCGACCCTATTTTCCTCTCTGTTTTCTATTTTGTTTTGATTGCTTTTCCTGGAGGGGAGGGGAAACGCCCCCTTACCCCCACCCCGGCATGTAGCCCTTGTACAATCATTGTTCGGCTGTGACCCCAAATGGTACTTACGCATAGTGTACTTTCATGCAGTTCCTCATTATTGGCTTGATGTCTTGAAGTAGATTCTTCTCTGCAATACTGCCAAAAAATGCGAAATAAACATGTCGATGCCCTGTATATCTACTTGTACACTAAATTTGCAAAACAATGAGCATGCAATGTGAACACCCCCCGCCCTCAGTCTCCCTTTTTTCTTCTTCTTTTTTTGACCCATGTGCCAAAAAGACGGTTTTACAGTCTAACAGGAACCATGATTTGAATGGAACTCAGCAACTTTCTCTGTAAATTATGCATTAAACGCTTTGACACAGGTGGCAATCCATTCGACGTCAGAAGTTACACTTTCCAAAATATACAACCATAGGCCTATCACCAAATACACTTTCAAAGAATCATATCACCAACTATACGTTCGACAGTAACTAATCATCTCACCAATTATACCTTCCAAAATAAAGCATCATATCAGCGACTATGGCTTCTAAATTGAAAAAACAAAAACAAAAACAATTCTTATAAACAGTTACAGGTTCGAAGTAACCAAACAGAAAAAAACAGAACCCAAACACACAAACCCCCCCCCCCAAAAAAAAAAAAAAAAAACGGCAGAAAAATTAATTGGGGAACAAAAAAAAACAACTGTGCGATAAATTCGTTAAAGGCTGTGTGCATGTACAAGTGGTTTCTGTTATTTCATCTTCTATAAAATCACAGATTTTTGACTTACATGACCACGACAGACTCCGGCAATTCAAACGGTGTTTCGATCAAGTTGTTGGTTATATTTCTTTGGGTGAAAAGATATAACATTAAGTTTGATATTTACACAAGAGAGGTTGTTAAGCACGGCACGATAACAGAGCACAACTAATTTAACAACGCTCAAATCAAAACTAGAGAAAGGGCAAATCACAAGAAAGTAAAAGGAGACAATGTTTTGACATATATGGTGATTCATTTTGAAGCGATTAGGCCCAATGCAATACAAATATTAGACAAGTAGATGGGTATGGGTTTCCGGTATGATTGACAACTGCAATAGACACTTAGTAACACGAGATGACTTGTGGTTTTCATTGAAGACACTCAAGAACCCATCCACCAAAAAACAAAATATAATTCAGTGGGTCACTTTGGAGACATTCACATGAGTCACTAGGGAGGTATTCACATAGGCTTGTGCTCAAAATTGTTTTTGACTTTAATCACCCCCTTGCCCCAAGTTTACCTTATCCTATCCGACGAATGTTGGTATTAGTGTTTTACCAATTGGACCACGAGCATCGATGTAGCCTATCTTTTCCTCAAAATAGGGGTTGAGGCATTAGGAGGACACTGAACAGTCTCCCTTATTCCACATGTCTCCCAAAGGTACAGCTAACGACGCCAAAGTCTCTCCCGAAGGTCCTATTGGTGGTTGTAATAGCAAAAATATAATTTAAAAAAAATTAAATGGGTTATCAAGCCATCGGTCTACACGACTACATTACAACTCACATTTGGACAAGGTGCCTCAGTTCCAACAGGCCATCGTAAGGTATCTCCCGCAAGAAATTATCTCCGAGGTCACTGTTTGAAATGTCAAATAAAAGGAGACCAAAATGTTCACACAAAAAGTTGGAACATCTAATTAAAGGTAAATTGGAACATTTATTCAAAAGCAAATTGAAATATTTTTCCAGGTAGTCTATTTTGGAAGGAGACTTTGTTAGACCATCCGAACAGGTGAGCCTTTCCATTTTCTAAAAGACCCCATGCTTTCAGGGAATAAAGCTTGAAAGTTGATCACTGGTGGCACTCTTCCGGACCTCTCTGAACAGGAAAATTAGTGTGTAAACGTCGGAGTTTTAGAAATATTTTGGCACATTGATCTATTAAAAAAACACCCCCGGAAAAGCCTTTGTAAAATTGTTACTACAGCATTTAAATTTACGTACTCTAAGAAATCGCATGACGTAAAAGAGAAAATCGTGCTAATTTTCATTAGTCTCCTGACGATGATTAGAGCAGGCTGGTCGAAACGTTGAGACCAAAAAGCAGTTATTTAGAACTTAAAGCAGGACTGTTCTTATCGGAACTAAAACTACTAAGCGAAAGTTGATAAGAAGCAGGACAAGTTCTTCTCGAAACTAAATATCTTGAAAGCAGTAGTTATTACCACAAGATTTTTAATACCGTAAACCGAAACGATACCGATACTCCACCATGCAAAGCCTAAAATCTTATATAGAAATTGACCTCTCACTTAGTTCCGAAAATCTTTAATACATGTGGACTAGTGGGGCAAGGAGTACTCGTACGAAGATGAACAGGAGACTAAAAAGGAGACTAAAATGTCCTTTGGGATGGAAATTTGTTTGAATGAACTCGAAGGACTATTTCGCATTTACAAACAAATCTAAAATGACCTTTGATATACGAACTGTATTCAAGTAAACCCGACTAAATCTAACATCCATCGAATGTAGGTGAGTGAATCGTCGCATCGTTATAATTTTTGTTCACACGCAAGTAGCGTGATGTGTGTATAAAACGTGATCGAACAAAGACACCTAGGTACGATAATCCGGACGTAAAAGATCGTAAGTGACATTCGTTTTGACCCATCTCCAACTGATTTCTTTTTGTGTGTGTGGAATACCACAATAAAATTTAAAGGTTATTTTTTTTGCTTGGGGGGGGGGGGGGGAGCGGTGATTACGGTTAGAAAGCATTCTGTCAAAAATTAAAGCAACAAAAAGGGCAACCCCGGGAAAAATGCCCATATAAGGGTCACGGATGAGTCCGGAAGCTCAAAAACAAAATGGCGTACTTTCAGGCTATATTGTCGCGAACCCAGAACCAAATCCGCCAGCCGACTGTTGAAAAAAAAATGGATGCTAAGGATATATGTAGCGCCAGTACTGCCTTTGCTGTTATTTTCATATTTCAGTCCTTCACTGACCATTCAATTCTGCAGTTTTCTCATCCTCTTCGACCGTTTAATATTCGTTCTCTCGTTTTTAGATTGTTCGGCTTTCTTTTTGGTTTTTCTGCATAGTTGTGGAAAAGCCTTTGTTTCTGTTTTGATTTTGTGTGTGTCTTTTTCGGCTTAAAAGCGAAAAACTTTAGTTTTCTGTTGATTTCTGTTATTTTTTTTCATCTTTTTGTTCCATCCCAAATCCCATATTCTTTGAACATGTTTTATTCAGCCCGGCACTTAAGAACTAAAACAAAGTCATATCCCAACGAAACTTAACATAGAGAAAGTGTACTTAGGTAAGATATTTATCAGACTGATCTGAACCTCCTAATAACATCTATAACTCGTCTTGCCCCCCAAAAAACACGCTACTACACTCGCTCAGTTCGACAAGTGCAAAAATGGCATAAAGAGCTAGAATTTGGCAGGAAATCAGGAACTGCATCCGTTCCTTCAAATCTCAAGATCGCTGAGATCACTTCTGTTTATAAAACTGGCGATCCAAAGGCCATTCACAACTATTGACGTATTTCTGTGTTTCCCTGCTTTTCAAAATTACTCCAACGGATGTCAACTAGATTTATAGAAGTAGAAAGTTGCATAAATAAGTCCACTAGTAATATTCATATTTTTTTTCCCAATCTGCTGAATGTGTCTCCGACCGAATGTAGACCGATACTATCAGGGATAACGCTGGGAATGTCCACGTTTGCAATTCAAGCCCCCCAGTATTGTCAAGGAGGAAGTACAATATAACAAACTCCATTGGCCCCAGGGCGTATTGGACAAAGAGACGCGTGACAAACACTGGTGCATGAATCGGTTTCCTAATTTCGGTTTTTTTGTCTCGTGTTACATCCATTCAACATTAAGGGCCATGATTCAATTTAGCATTAAATTGGGTAAATATAATTTCAATATGACAGGGACGAAAGCTAAGGTTGGTTTTACCCAAAGCTATAGTGCTGACACAAGGAAGTGTACTGGGTCCTATGAAGGGATTCCTTATGAGCCATATAACCCTGAGGCAAAGATAAACCCGTGACTCTTTCAAAAGAAAATGAATGACAAAACACTGATACGACAACGGAGATAAAACACAATTGTTTCTACTTATTTCCTCATGGATGAGTATTTCATGCAGAAAAAATGTCTTTAGTCCTTCTCCCTACTCTCTTGCCAAAACCAAATCCCACAATGGGTTGCCAGATGACGGCACACGTTAACATAATAATCGGTGTTTTCCCGAGCTCAATGATGCCGAACTGGAGACATTTTGTGGACAATTATGATCTTCTATCTTTTAATAAAAGATGCGGTAGAAAATAGCAAAAGAACTGAACTTTCTTGAGGTTGAGCTGTCTTCTGGTGAGCTGGACAAGTGTCTCCGAAGATGTTTTACTGAGGTTGCATAATGCAACGGGAAAATCGGCGACTGAATGAGGGGAACCGTGCCTGAGCAAGGGCGACCAAGTGACATGATTATGTTGAAGTGACGTAGCCATTTGCATTGTTTGCATTACATAATATGCATAAATGTATTCAACATTACTTTGTTTTTGCCGTTGTGCTTCTCGCGCGAGGACGGTTAACTCATGTATTCGCCAACATTCATGATCGGGTACAAAACATATGGGAAGTCTTCCTAAAAAGTACGAGCAGAAATAAAGGTCCTGCGACTTGCTATTCTTTTATTTTATTCAGCCAATATTTCCTTCCTACCAGACGAATCTAATTGAAAATAATGTTAAATAATTTTCTTTTATAAAGTGTATAGTTTTTCAAATTTAAAAACCAACAATTTCTGCAAAATACATTTTCGAAACTATAACTGTATCATCCAGATGTCAGGGCCGCCTTTATTTCCTGCTGAACTTAACCCTAAAGGGACCGGGGGCGGAATCCGCCCCCTCGACTTTTCTGCGATAGCTTTTAACAATTTTTTTTGCGACCCAAGCTTTTGTGACTTTTTAGCCTCTAGCCTTGCGCATCTTTTGACACCAAAAACATAAAAATCTGACGAGGGGTTGTCGCGCAACGAATTTTTTTCCGGCGCTACGCGCCGTGACAACTGAATTTTCCCATACACGTCGTGTACACAGACCAGAATTGCCATTCATACATATGAATAATTAATTAGCCATAATTCCAAAACCCCTTGACTTTTAGTCATACAGTTTCTTGGGTATGTTCATGAAGAGTTGCTCTATGCATGTACCGAGATTCAAAATTTTGCGTCACTCGATGCCCGAGATCTTAGGGGGGGGGATCCGCCCCCCCCCCCGGCTGAGAGATGGTCAAAATAACCCGGCCCCTTTAGGGTTAAACATTGCAGGCCCGTTCATCCCGGAATTTGTATTCCTGTGGAGTCATTGCTTTGTTCTCGTGTACTAAAGTTTTCGAATTTGAAAGTGTACTTTAAAAATGCTCCTATTTTAGCCAGAATTTATTTTCTGAGCTGAAATTCGGGCTTATTATCCCTTACATAAAATACTTCACTGTGCGGCGGATCAACACACCTTGGACATTCCTAGTTTTTGAGTAAAATCCATATATATTTCGTGATAACCTTGTGGAGACATATTCACCTATGGAAATTGCTCTGTGGAGATGTATACAATCTTTTGTTCCCGAATGTGCACATGTCTCCAGAGGGTACCGGCTGGGTTTTTATCATCCGTTTAAGACCGGACAAGTGACGGGCTCTCGATCAATAGGAATAGGTAAACTGGTATTTGTGAATCATAGTTCACATGATCAGGGCCCGCTTTCTCTGGGACGCATTGCATAGGCCCAAGTATTTCCAAAAATCAATAAGTTGACTGGTTGTTGGCAATGATCAACGATTCTTGTCCTCTAAATGACGGCAAACCAGATGAAATAGTTTAACGGGGTGTTTAATACCAGAGCGATCTTCAATCCAAGAAAGCTTGTTAATAATAATTGGATGGGCGACTTGAGATTATAAATAATAATCGTCCCCTACTCACTGTGATTACTTACAGTAATCTCGTCCCATTGGGGATACCTCTGGGTAGTTCCGTAAGACCTCTCCCGATGCAGTTGACTCTGGATCCGTTGCATTCACACACATCGCAGGCTTCCCCAGTTGGACTCACCGCAACCACCGTGGTCAACATCGCAAGAAGCTGAAGCATTACCACGAGACCCATTGCAACATTCGGACTCGTTCCTCTCTTGCCAAGCGACATGGTATGCAACAATCTTACTAGCTACATCAATCGTATCGCTTTTCGGTGCAATTGTGGTGTCGGCTTGTTGGCTTATAAGCAGAAGGATTTGAATGGGCCTTATTTATACCCAAGTTCTAGGGCTGGTTATTCCCCTATGATCGAGTCATAGTATTGCTCAACCATGGTTCAACGTACGGCTAGTAATAAACTCGTGACTTTTTCACAAGAAAAGGAGATAAAACACAATATTTTTGTGCACAGTGATGTCAGGTCGGATTCTTTAGGGTATTTCCAACGCAAGCTCAGAGGAGCCATTCTTTTGTCACATTTTTTTCACCGTGGGAAATGTTGTGAAGCGTCTGCTACAGGCGCCGTCTGGTACAAATTAAAACGCCGTGGTCCCCGAGTTGGATTCGAACCCTAGATCCAAGCCTCATGCAAAGATCTTTAAGACACAATTGGCGCAGCAGACCGTAAAAAGGGTTGAACTGAAAAGGAGGGGTTCAACATCTCACGGCTGCTTGAACGGGTTCTGACGAAACACCATATATCAATCTACACGGAACGATGCAGCTGTAGAGGGCCCATTGTGTGCATGCAATGTATGCAAAGTCACAAAATAAGGGAATTATATCTGTTTGGCTGGTTTTAAACAAAATGTTTAAGACCTGTTTGGAATCTAGGCGCTGATAATGACCCGAGCCGATGGCGAGGAACAAGACAAAGACAAAACATGCTCGTGGTTTTGTGCATAGTCTAATCACCCTCCGTTAACATACATGTACATGTATCTTCAACATTGCTTCATATCGTTCAAATGTTGTGTACTTATAACATGCTGCAAAAGGTTTTAACGACTGGAACAACGACTATGATATAGTTTATGAGAGGCAAGAATCCACATCACAAAGCAAAAACAAAAAATGTGTATGGAAAAAGAATGTTTTATAAGTATGAAAACTGTACTTAAATTCTCCTAACATAATGAACACTTCGGCACTGGTTCCCGTACATCTTGCCGCCCTACACTGCATGTTAGTGACTATTCAGACGGGAACCATGCTACCGTTAGAGCAAACTAATGCCTCAAACACACATGTACATGTACATGTACGCACAGTCGTTACCGCGTGGCTAGGCTTCGTGCGTCAACATGTCTGCCCCGACAAGTTCGCGTCCGAAGGTGGTGACCTTTGGTTTCAAAGATTTTGAATCGTCTTCAAAGAAGCGGAGCGCTGTCTGCAAAACATGTGGAATGAAGGTGTTGGAGACATCCTCGACGACATCAAATTTTGTGAGACATCTCTAAACTCATTCTGGTACATTGTGTCATTTGAATTCTGATATATATAACTGTGTAATACGTTTGAAATTGCTTCGGGACTTGAGTTGACATGAAAATTTGGCAAGTTGGTGCTATAATTGAAAAAAAAAATTGACTTGAAACTTGCAAAAATTTGACTTGAGACTTGACTTGACTTGGAAAAATTTGACTTGAGACTTGACTTGACCGTGAAAAAATTTGACTTGTGACTTGACTTGACTTGGGAAAAAAATGACTTGAGACTTGACTTTACTTGGGAAAAAATGACTTGGTTACAACACTGGCGGTAGGCATAATATACTAAGGGCATTCCCTATGAGTCATACTATTGCTCAACCACGGTTTCAGCCTCTTATAAACTCGTGACTCTTTCAAAACAAAGTGATGGATGAATAAGCACGGTAAGGATTATGGAAACAAAAGAGATACATCACAATATTTTTTGGTACACCTTGGTGCCAGCGCGGATTCTTCAGGGTATTTCCAATGAAAATTCAGAGGGGCCATTCTTTTGTCACCTTTTCCACCATGGAAAAAGTTGGAAGCGTCTGCTACAGACGCAGTCTGGTACAAGTTAAAACACTTTGGTCCCCTATTTGGATTCTCGCAAGAATTATTCAAAAACGCCCACTATCCTACATTTAAATGCTCTTTCCAGTTAACAGCACTTCGTTTAAAACGCGTTTTGTAGCCCAATCGGGCGCATACAAGGGGATGGTGAGGCAGGGTTTTCGGTCTCGCATGGTTCATGGGTCTCGCATGGAATTCCCTATGAGTCATACTATTGCTCAACCATGGCTTAACATATGACCTCCAATCAAAACTCGCGACTCTTTCAAAAGAATGTGATGAATGAGTAAGCACGGGAATGGAGTATGGAGACAAAGCATTATTTGTGCGACATATTTCCTCATGGACGAGATGTTTGTATGCCGAAAATACTATAGTCCAATGTTCGTGCAAATTCCAAGCCATTTAGGTCTGTACACGTTGATAAAAGCGTGGATTCTTTAGGGGAGTTCATTTCGAGTTCAAGGGAGTCTTTCTTTTGTCAGCTTTTTTTTCACCGTAACTGCATGGGGAGAAAATGTGGTGAAAAGAGGGGTACAAGTTAAGGCACCGTGGTCCCCTGTATATGGAGATCAATGGGTATAACGCATGGTCGCACCGTGCATTATACCGAATAATAATATGTCACGTGATCTACAATTCACCAATCAGATGACGGGGATTTATTCAGGTGTTGTATAAAGCAAAATGACACGCTCATTTGCTGATCGTGCGTTTCAGTTTTTGACGTATTAGCTTCGATAACACACCGGTATGGAATACAAACGCAGATATGCAAATAGCCGTACAAAAGCCGTACAAAATTTCTAGGTCTCCATAGGTTTGTGCACAATTTAATATAGCTCTATGGAACAAATATATTACACGGCAGGTATTAAAGTTTAATGCAAATTAGGAAAATTTCCACTAAAAATCCAGCTTGTTAACATCATTTTCGATTTCAGCACCCCCAAATTAGGTAAAATAGCTATGTTAACAACTTCTACTCGAAAATGCCTCTTCATGTAACATTTTTAAATATCGCCAGACTACTTAGGCCTATCGTGCTAGCAGAAAATTATGTGCTAACACTGTAATCTCAAAAGCATTAGTAACGGGATGTTCGCATACGCAAAACCTAAAATACCCTGTTAACCCGTGAAATACGCTTACAGTAAGCACGGATTTATTGTTAAATAGTAAGCAGGCGATTTTTTGGCTAACGGTAAGCAGAGCCATGAAGTTGGGCCCTTGTATGCGCCCCATTGGGCTTCAAAACGCGTTTTAATCGAAGCGATGTTAATTGGAAAGACCATTTAAAATGTAGGATATAAACGTCCAAACGGACATATCCTTTACAAACTGGGCGTTTTTGTGTTATCCTTGCGAGACTCCAACTAGGGGACCACGGCGTTTAAATTTGTACCAGACGGCGTCTGTAGCAGACACTTCACAACATTTCCCACGGTGAAAAAAATGTGACAAAAGAATGGCTCCTCTGAACTTGCATTGGAAATACCCTAAAGGATCCGCGCTGACATCACTGTAAACAAAAATATTGTGTTTAATTTCCTTTTCTTTTGAAAAAGTCACGAGTTTATTACCAGCCGTACGTTGAACCGTGGTTGAGCAATACTATGACTCGATCAGAGGGGAATAACCTGCCCTAGATCTTGGGTATAAATAAGGCCCATTCAAATCCTTCTGCTTATAAGCCAACAAGCCGACACCACAATTGCACCGAAAAGCGATACGATTGATGTAGCTTGTAAGATTGTTACATACCATGTCGCTTGGCAAGAGAGGAACGAGTCCGAATGTTGCAATGGGTCTCGTGGTAATGCTTCAGCTTCTTGCGATGTTGACCACGGTGGTTGCGGTGAGTCCAACTGGGGAAGCCTGCGATGTGTGTGAATGCAACGGATCCAGAGTCAACTGCATCGGGAGAGGTCTTACGGAACTACCCAGAGGTATCCCCAATGGGACGAAATTACTGTAAGTAATCGTAGTGAGTAGGGGACGATCATTATTTATTATCTCAAGTCGCCCATCCAATTATTATTAACAAGCTTTCTTGGATTAAAGATCGCACTGGTACTAAACACCCCGTTAAACTATTCCATCTGGTTTGCCGTCATTTAGACGTTGGAAGAATCGTTGGTCATTACCAACAATCAGTCAACTTATCGATTTTTGGAAATACTTGGGCCTATGCAATGCGTCCCAGAGAAAGCGGGCCCTGATCATGTGAACTATGATTCACAAATAGCAGTTCACCCATTCCTATTGGTCAAGAGCCCGTCACTTATCCTATCTTAAACGGATGATAAAAACCCAGCCGGTACCCTCTGGAGACGTGCACATTCGGGAACAAAAGATTGTATACATCTCCACAGAGCAATTTCTATAGGTGAATACGTCTCCACAAGGTTATCACGAAATATATATGGATTTTACTCAAAAACTAGGAATGTCCAAGGTGTGTTCATCCGCCGCACAGTGAAGTATTTTATGTAAGAGATAATAAGCCCGAATTTCAGCCCAGAAAATAAATTCTGGCTAAACTAGGAGCATTTTTAAAGTACACTTTAAAATTCGAAAACTTTAGTACACGAGAACAAAGCAATGACTCCACAGGAATACAAATTCCGGGATGAAAGGGCCTGAAATGTTTAACCCTAAAGGGGCCGGGTTATTTTGACCATCTCTCAGCCGGGGGGGGGGGGGGGGGCGGATTCCCCCCCCCCCAAGATCTCGGGCATCGAGTGACAAAAAATTGTGAAACTCAGTACATGCATTGAGCAACTCTTCATGGCTGAATTACGGCTAATTAATTATTCAAATGTATGAATGGTAATTCTGGTCTGTGTACACGACGTATATGGGAAAATTCAGTTTTCACGGTGCGTAGCGCCGGAAAAAACTTTCGTTGCGCGACAACCCCTCGTCAGATTTTTATGTTTTTGGTGTCAAAAGATGCGCAAAGCTCGAGGCTAAAAAGTCATTAAAGCTTGGGTCGCGAAAAAAAAATGTTTAAAGGCTATCGCGGAAAAAGTCGAGGGGGGTGGATTCCGCCCCGGCCCCTTTAGGGATAAGTTCAGCAGGAAATAAAGGCGGCCCTGACATCAGGATGATATATTTCTAGTTTCGAAAATGTATTCTTCAGAAATTTTTGGTTCTGAAATTCAAACAACTATACATTTTGTAAAAAAAAATTTTTTTAACATTTTTTCAATTAGATTCGTCTGGTAGGAAGAAAATATTGGCTGAATAAAATAAAAGAATAGCAAGTCGCAGGAACTTTTTTTCTGCTCGTACTTTTTAGGAAGAATTCCCATATGTTTTGTACGCGATCATCAACGTTGGCGAATACATGAGTTAACCGTCCTCGCGCGAGAAGCACAACGGCAAAAACAAAGTAATGTTTAATACATTTATGCATATTATGTAATGCAAACAATGCAAATGGCTACGTCACTTCAACATAATCATGTCACTTGGTCGCCCTTGCTCAGGCACGGTTTCCCTCATTCAGTCGCCGATTTTCCCGTTGCATTATGCAACCTCAGTAAAACATCTTCGGAGACACTTGTCCATCTCACCAGAAGACAGCTCAACCTCAAAAAAGTTCAGTTCTTTTGCTATTTTCTACCGCATCTTTTATTAAAAGATAGAAGATCATAATTGTCCACAAAATGTCTCCAGTTCGGCATCATTGAGCTCGGGAAAACACCGATTATTATGTTAACGTGTGCCGTCATCTGGCAATCCATTGTGGAATTTGGTTTGGCATTGGCAAGAGAGTATGGAGAAGGACTAAAAACATTTTTTTCTGCATGAAATACCCATCCATGAGGAAATAAGTAGAAACAATTGTGTTTTTATCTCCGTTGTCGTATCAGTGTTTTGCCATTCATTTTCTTTTGAAAGAGTCACGGGTTTATTTTTGCCTGGGGGTTATAATGCTCATAAGGAATACCCTTCATAGGACCCAGTACACTTCCTTGTGTCAGCACTATAGCTTTGAGTATAACCAACTTTAGCTTTCGTCCCTGTCACATTGAAACTATATTTACCCAATTTAATGCTGAATTGAATCATGGCGCTTAATGTTGAATAGATGAAACACGATACAAAAAAAACGAAATTAGGAAACCGATTCATGCACCAGTGTTCGCCAAGCGTCTCTTTGTCCAAAACGCCCTGGGGCCAATGGAGTTTGTTTTCAGTTGTACTTCCTCCTTGACAATTCTGGGGGATTTGAATTGCGAACGTGGACATTCCCAGCGTTATCCCTGATAGTATCGGTCTACATTCGGTCGGAGACACATTCAGCAGATTGAAAAAAAAACACATGAATATTACTAGTGGACGTATTTACGCAACTTTCTACTTCTATAAAACTAGTTGACATCCGTTGGAGTAATTATGAAAAGCAGGGAAACACAGAAATACGTCAATAGTTGTGAATGGCCTTTGGATCGCCAGTTTTATAAACAGAAGTGATCTTAGCAATCTTGAGATTTGAAGGAACGGATGCAGTTCCTGATTTCCTGCCAAATGCTAGCTCTTCATGCCATTTTTGCACTTGTCGAACTGAGCGAGTGTAGTAGCGTGTTTTTTTGTTTGGCAAGACGAGTTACAGATGTTATTAGGCGGTTCAGATCAGTCTGATAAATGTCTTACCTATGCACACTTTTTCTATGTTAAATTTCGTTGGGATGTGACTTTGTTTTAGTTCTCAAGTGCCGGGCTGAAAAAAAAACATGTTCAAAGAATATGGGATTTGGGATGGAACAAAAAAAAAACTAACAAAAATCAACAGAAACTAAAGTTTTTCGCTTTGAAGCCGAAAAAGACACACAAAAAATCAAAACAGAAACAAAGGCTTTTCCACAACTATGCAGAAAAACCAAAAAGAAAGCCGAACAATCTAAAAACGAGAGAGATCGAATATTAAACGGTCGAAGAGGATGAGAAAACTGCAGAATTGAATGGTCAGTGAAGGACTGAAATATGAAAATAACAGCAAAGGCAGTACTGGCGCTACATATATCCTTAGCATCCATTTTTTTTCAACAGTCGGCTGGCGGATTTTGTTCTGGGTTCGTTTCGGTTTACGGTATTAAAAATCATGTGGTATTCTAACTACTGCTTTGGAAATATTTTGTTTCGAGAAGAACTTGTCCTGCTTCTTATCAACTTTCGCTTAGTAGTTTTAGTTCCGATAAGAACAGTCCTGCTTTAAGTTCTAAAAGAACTGGGTTTTGGTCTCAACGTTTCGACTAGTCATCGTCAGGAGACTAATGAAAATCAGCACGATATTTCTCTTTTACGTCATGCGATTTTTTAGAGTACATAAATTTAAATGCTGTTGTAACAATTTTACAAAGGCTTTTCCGGGGGTGGTTTATTTTAAAATATCAATGTGCCAAAATATTTCTAAAACTCCGACGTTTACACACTAATTTTCCTGTTCAGAGAGGTCCGGAAGAGCGCCACCAGTGATCAACTTTCAAGCTTAATTCCCTGAAAGCATGGGGTCTTTTAGAAAATGGAAAGGGTCACCTGTTCGGATGGTCTAACAAAGTCTCCTTCCAAAATAGACTACCTGGAAAAATATTTCAATTTGCTTTTGAATAAATGTTCCAATTTACCTTTAATTAAATGTTCCAACTTTTTGTGTGAACATTTTTGTCTCCTTTTATTTGACATTTTAAACAGTGACCTCGGAGATAATTTCTTGCGGAAGATACCTTACGATGGCCTGTTGGAACTGAGGCACCTTGTCAACATGTGAGTTGTAATGTCGTCATGTAGACCGATGGCTTGATAACCCATTTTATTTTTTTAAATTATATTTTTGCTGTTACAACCACCAGTACGACCTTCGTGAGAGACTTAAGCGTCACAAGTTATACCTTTGGGAGATATGTGGAATTAGGGAGACTGTCCAGTGTCTCCGTAATCCTTCAACCCCTATTTTGAGGAAAAATAGGCTACATCGATTGCTCGTGGTCCAATTGGTAAAACAAAATACCAAAATTCGTGGGATAGGATATGGTAAACTTGGGGCCAGGGGGTGATTAAAGTCAAAGACAATGTTGAACACAAGCCTATATGAATACCTCCCTAGTGACTCATGTGAATGTCTCCCAAGTGACCCACTGAATTATATTTTTGTTTTTTGGTGGATGGGTTCTTGAGTGTCTTCAATGAAAACCACAAGTCATCTCGTCTTACTAAGTGTCCATTGCAGTTGTCAATCATACCGTAAACCCATACCCATTTACTTGTCTAATATTTGTATTGCAATGGGCCTAATCGCTTCAATATGAATCACAATATATGTTAAAACATTGCTTCTTCTTACTCTCTTGTAATTTGCCTTTTCTCTGGTTTTGATTTGAACGTTGTTGGATAAGTTGTGCTCTGTTATCGTGCCGTGCTAAATAATCTCTCTCGTGTAAATATCAAACGTAATGTTATATCTTTTCACCCACAGAAATATAACCAACAACTTGATCGAAACACCGTTTGAATTGCCGGAGTCTGTCATGGTCATGTAAGTCAAAAATCTGTGATTTTATAGAAAATAGAATAACACAAACCACTTGTACATGCACACACCCTTTAACGAATTTATCGCACAGTTTTTTTTGTTCCCCAATTAATTTTTCTGCCGTTTTTTGTTTGGTTTTTGTTTCTTTGGTGTGTGTTGGTTCTGTTTTTTTTTTCTGTTTGGTTACTTCGAACCTGTAACTGTTTATAAGAATTGCCTTTTTTTCAATTTAGAAGCCATAGTCGCTGATATATGGTTTTATTTTGGAAGGTATATTTGGTGAGATGATTAGTTACTGTCGAACGTATAGTTGGTGATATTCTTTTGAAAGTGTATTTGGTGATAGGCCTTTGGTTGTATATTTTGGAAAGTGTAACATCTGACGTAGGACATTTCATTGATTTGACGTCTGAATCGAATGGATTGCCGCCTGTGTCAAAGCGTTTAATGCATAATTTACAGAGAAAGTTGCTGAGTTCCATTCAAAGCATGGTTCCTATTAGACTGTAACACCGTCTTTTTGGCACATGGGTCAAAAAAAGAAGAAGAAAAAAGGGAGACTGAGGGCGGGGGGTGTTCACATTGCATGCTCATTGTTTTGCAAATTTAGTGTACAAGTAGTAATACAGGGCATCGACATGTTTATTTCTTACTTTTTTGGCAGTATTGCAGAGAAGAATCTACTTCAAGACATCAAGCCAATAATGAGGAACTGCCTGAAAGTACACTATGCGTAAGTACCATTTGGGGTCACAGCCGAACAATGAGTATACACGGGCTACATGCCGGGCTGGGGGTAAGGGGGCGTTTCCCCTCCCCTACAGGAAAAGCAATCAAACCAAAATAGAAAAAAAAAAGAGGAAAATAGGGTCGGAAAGAAAGAAAATGAGGCGTGAAGTCATATTGCTGTTAATTTAATTGGTCGGGGTGTAAATGTCCCTGCCCATCCTCGCAAAAGGATGAATTGAGAATGTGCTGGAAAAGTACAGGGATTTTTTTTTTGGGGGGGGGGGACGTGCTTTTACCCCCCTCTAGAAAAAAATGCTGGCGACGCCCATGACGGGCTACACCCAGCTGGAGGAAGCTCGTAGCTGGATCAATACTAATCGAGTATTTGATGGTTCATGACGTTACTTACGACTGCGCACTAATAACATTGTGCGAACGCCTCTAGTCAAACGACGGACCAAGCGTCATTACAAACTTCTGGTCCTGGCTCCCCGTTGTACATTGTGATGCGCGTAGCTATTGGTTACCAGCGATGGAACTGTGCGCCCGAACTTGCTTTGTCCTGCAGAGTCCGATTCTCGTTATTTTTAAGACCTATATTAAGCACTCAAAGTTTTTACTTCATACAATACTTACAACATAAGAATACTATTCTCCCACGCAGAACAGTTTTGAAACTACAACTTGAACTTTATCCACAGTGATTTTAGAAACAACAGTCTGCAAGTCATCGAGACAGGTACTTTCAAAAGATGCACTAACCTGTTGGATCTGTAAGTATACATGAGATTGCTTTCTTTGTGGTCAAAAGCCTAATTGTAGTTAATGCATCCCTATAAATTGCTTCCAATGCCATGAAGATAAGTATCTTAATCCAGTTGGTCTGTGGTGTCTAATGACACTATACGGTCCTTTCTTGCTCCAATACATACATTCTGTCGACGCTCCGGGTAAAATGTGATTGATATAAATTCAAAAATGTATGTTTTTTTTAATTTTGCAAATGGAAAGAAACGATCAATACATATTTATATTTTATCCAATTTTGCACTTTGTAATTTCTTCCTTTGATTTCATAATTATTAGTAAAGATACGTTTAATGTTTGTACGCCACAACAGTTAAGGATATCATCCATAACGCAAACACTTGTCCTTTATTCCAAATTCAAACACCATTAATAATCTCATTTTCTGTTTGTTTGTAAATGTTGTCTTCATCAACAGAGTCTTGGATGAAAACAGAATATCGCAAGTACAACCTGGAGGGTTTGTGGGACTACGAAATATAAACAATTTGTAAGCCATAATTCAGCTTAGTATAAATTAATACACATTTTATTGTTTCTATGTTTATTTTTGTTTTGTTATGTTTATTATTTGTAAGAAAAAATAGGTTTTTGCTTCTGAGACGGATTGGAAGAAAGGGAAATGCTGTTCCCAACTACTTGAATTAACATTTTAATTGCAGTTTCGATTCAAGATGGCTGATTCATGTGTCGCGCTAACCCTAAATACTGAATTGCAATTGGTTCATGGCCTTCCTTTTTTTCAATCAAACAGAAACATGACTATATGTGACTTGAAGGTGTTACGGCCACATACGTTTGGGGGCATGCTTCGGCTGAACAAGTTGTAAGTATATACTATTGTCTTCCATGTTTTTGTTTAGATTAATGCCTGAATGTGAATTGAGGAGCCCCAAACAGATCAACCCAATATTCTCATATTGTTTTTGCTATGGAAGAATTTTAGATTTGTTGATGTCAGGACACCAGTTAAAAACAATCAATTTTCTGCCAACAGAACTTCGGACTTTATTTTGACGACTCCTTTTGTGCCACCAAAGCAAGCAAATGATAATTCCAAAATCCCACCAGGAGAATTTCATGTTGCCCATGTTCTGTGGGCATAGCATTAGATGGACTTTTAAGGTGACGTGTTGTTAAAAGATCGCAAAATCCAAAAGGTGGACTTGATGGTGATTGTAACATATCCCCTTTTCTTCTTTTTGAAAATGCAGATATCTGGATCAATGTCACTTGGAGGAAATTCCGTCTGGTCTGTTTCTAGATCCGACGACAGACGGTGTTCCTGACAAAGGCATCACACCCTTCCGGCTGTAAGTAGTGGCTATGACTTGCAGAAGAAAGATTCATTTAAGTAATGAACAGATAATTCACCTGCCCGTTGGTATAAAAATAGGCTTTAAGTTAAGCTTGGTAACCCATGTGCTGGTGTTTGATTAATCCTAGGCTCTTGTTTATCAAAACAGGACTATGACCTTATTGAGACGTAATATCCTGACTCTTTTGCATTACCCACATTTACCCCCCCCCCCCCACTTTTTGAAGGGTGGGGGACACAATATCAAATGTCCCCCCCCCCAGATTTTTGAACTCGTGTCTCATTTACAGGGCCCTATTATGTACTACAATGTATCTTTTGCTAATATTGGTTACAGTGGTCCGAAATTGCCTCAGATAGCACCACAGAGCATTTAGAATCCAAAATTTTTCGGGGCCCTTCAGCGGGCCCCGAACCCCACGCCTATAGCTCAGAATTCTGGTTGCCGATTCAATGACTCCAACTTCGAAAACAATGATCAAAAAATTTTCTTATGCATTTAGCTGAGAAAACCTCGAAAATTATGTTTAAATTATTATCTTTTGTGCTAAAATAATTATTGGTTAAAGTGGTAAGAAATTGCCACAGATCACACCACAGAGCATCGAGAATCCAATTTTTTCGGGGCCCTTAAGCGGGCCCCGACCCCCACGCCTATAGCTCAGAATACCGATAGCTGATTAAATGACTCCAACCTCGAAAATGATGTTCAAAAATTATCTTTTGTTAAGAAAATAATAGTTAAAGCATGGAGGAAAGTGGTAAGAAATTGCTTCAGATCACACCACAGAACATCTAGAATCCAATTTTTTTAGGGGCCCTTCAGCGGGCCCCGAACGCCCACGCCGTAAGGGCTTCGCGCTTCGCGCTCGCATCAGTTCTGATCAAGGTATGTCCCCCCTCCACTTTTGAGAAGCGATTGACGCCCCTATATGACGCCCCCCATGAAATGTTCCCATCCCCCCAGCGCCCCCCCCCCCCCCCCCCACTGAAAAATTTCTGGCTACGACACTGGTCGGTCGTAGGTGCACCTAATAAAAAGCGCTTTTCGAACTTAACAGCAATATGATTTTGTTGATGTTTATTTAATATTTCTTTAACATGTTTTGCAGGTTTTTTCCTCAAAATAAACTTCGACGGGTCTCTCCGGGTGCGTTCAATGGAGTGAAAGAAATTTACGACCTGTAAGTTTTTCAAATGATTGTGTATGCCACGAGCGCGAGTGGAACACGGAATGTGCGTCCCACACACATGCGTTTCACTCTCGTAGAACGCGCGATATTTAAAAATTAACAGTGAGTACGGCGGCAACTTGACTGCGACCTTGGAAACCATACGAAATCGGCCCTGGCAACCGGGCTCTTCCTCTCGTTAGATTACAAATTTATCTGCTTTACGCGAGTAATAATGAGAACTATTTACTTTAAAATAATGTTCTGTATTAAGCAATTCCTACAAATGATATGTCGGGGCAAAACTCATGTCTGGGCTAAAATCTTAGTTCTATTGTTCACGTGCCACTTTTTTCGTTTAAGATTTCTAGACATTCAAATTGTTCACAGGGCAATGCAATAATGAACAATTGTACATAAAATTCACGGAGCGATTTTTTTTTGTTTCGATAAAAATGGGCAATTTTAAAAGCTAACTAAACATTGTTGTTTGAGTGTTTTGGATAACTCGCGACACGTGGTACCAGACCCCATTACGTACTCAATATATTTCGAGAGCATATTGTGATCAGCAAAAATTGGTTTAAAACCTTAGGTGCGAGTTTGATTTTATGAAGCAAATTTTTGAATATCGGAGATCACAAATTCAAGCTTTCCGCTTCCCAGTGATTCTAAATCAATGGCTGGCAACAACCTTCTCGACTACTTTTGGGATGGGGATCGGGAATAATTCAAACCCCTGCTCTTAGTATCGAAAAATTGGAAATGACAGAAAAATCTGACCCGGAATCGCGGGTCACATTTTGACCCATTCACCCATTAATCAATTCATTATTTCTTCTTTCTCCCTTTTGCAGAGGATTGGATAGAAACGAGCTCACCTCTCTCCCAATATTTGAACATTCGATAAGTATCGGAAAGTAGTAAGTGCATGCCCAGATTATCTAATAGGCACAGTAGGCAACACCCAATTGCCTGCCAAAAACCTGAGGGCATCCGAAAATACCAGTGAGCCCTTAAAAAAACGCACATACGAGCACACTGCTTAAAAAAAGAAACTCCCGGGTCTGAAAACTACACCAGGCCTGTATTTTTTCCGAGTCAAAATAACACTTTTCGGGGCAAAATGACACTTCTCCGGCTATTCTGTAGGTCATTTGGAAACTGAAATGTATCATTTTGTCCCATTTGTGTCATTTTGACTCGGAAAAGTTTTAACACTAACTTTTCCGGATATAACCCGGATTCAAATATGACCCGGGAGTTTTAAAGCCCCCTTTTTTTGTTTAGCGTGTTTGTCCGAATTTCCGATTTCACCAAGTAACGATGACACGTGTATACAGCCATGTGTTTGCAATGGGGCGATTCTAAAGGTTGCGTAGCACTTTATTTTGTATGAAACTATATGCACACAGACATGTTCACGTTGGCGGGCGAAATCTTTGAAAATCAATTTCTCCCGTGTGAAAGACCGTATCTTCATGCAACTTTCAGGGTTCATTTCCCTTATAATGATCCAAGTATGTGCTAAAAATCGTAGTGATATGTTCATTACTTTTCGTTGAAATTGGAAAAATAGCCCTGGCTACGTGCATTTTTGATAGTTGTAACGTATGGCTTTTGCAATATCTGTCAATCTTTTCAAGCCTCCCGAATATTCAATTATTGTGTGCAGTACACGCCGAGTGACGCTAATGAATATGATAATATGCCCTTCGTCATTGTGTTGCCGGGCCGAAATCGGTCAACACTTAATGCCAGCGGTGAAACTAAGGTTAAGCTTCAAGTGACATATAAAGTCATTTTAATGGGGGGGGGGGGGGGGGGGGGTAGACGTGAAAATGCCACTTGCCCTTCCATGCCGGAATGTAGTCTTTTTTTCACCGGTCATCCACATAGGGTGGTGGGACACCATCTTCATATTGGGGGCACTATCGGACAACAGAACGCGCCTTTTAGGACCGACGTTCGTGCGACATCCCAAAAAGGGCACTCATTAAAAAAGAGTCCCCGGATAAAAAGGGCACTTGTGTTAAAAAAAGAAACAACAAAGAAACAAAACGGAAACAGGCATTCTTTACAAAATATGCGGGGTGGGGGGTAAATAACCCCACTCCCCCCTCCCCCCTCCCGCTGGCTTCGCTACTGATGTTTATATGGGTGCACCTGGGGCGCACCAATTTTTTCAAAGGAGGCACTGAAGATAATGCTTAATGGTTGGTGTGCAGTTCAAGATTTCTTAGGCCCCCCAAAATAGTCGGTCTCTGGTCAGGCCGAAGTTCCGGGATTGATGCGGCGACGCGGTTTTTTTTTTTTCTTCTTTTGGTGGCTTTTTTTTTCAAGCTTGAATTGTACAGACAAAGTAGGTATTATTTTGCTTTTTTGTGTCCTCATTATACATTGGTGTCCTCCATAATTTGCCTTGGTGCCCTTATTCATTTGCCTTGGTGCTATATTCCCATTCCTTGGTGCTCCTTGGTACAACAATTTGAGGAGGTGCGGCAATAGAGGGCGCTGTTGTAGCTTTCGTGTTAATTTGAAGAAATAAAAAGGTTGACGCGCATGATTAAAATCGACGCGCGCGTGGACCAGAGTACCGAGTATTTTTTTTTGGCCTTAGGAGAGATGGCACCCGGGGTAGACGCCAGGGGGGGGGGGGGGGGGGGGGGGGAGGGCACGCCATGCCATGTAGGTACACCACTGCTTTATGGTCTAGATTTGTGAAAGTTTTTTCAGCGGATCCAGGCTGCTGCTAACATAATGAAGGGTGTTTCTTTATACTGTCACATGAAAACAAAATGTGCGATGTTTCTGTCAAACTAAAACACAATGAAGGTCACTTTGATTTTATTCACTATCAGCAGCATGCAACATTAAACAGATTGACCATAGCAACACAAAAATTAACAAACAAAGGGGTGTTGATTTCGTCTTAATCCAATCACATGCATCTTTTTTCCATTGGGATCCATAAAATACTAATCAAGTAATACCTGAAGCATTAGAAAAATTATATTGAAAAAAAATATTATTAATAATATTGCAATCTGTGATCTTCGATTTCAGTCGACTAGCCAGGAACAAACTCAATTCTGAAGGCCTTCCAGAGGATGCGTTTTACAACATAACAGCAATGCATTATCTGTAAGTATATCAGCGCCACACGTTTTGTTTATAAAGACTCTGATGTAGTTTGTTTACTACATCGAGTAATGCAAGGTACGCTCTGGCAGTATGACGACGACGCAAATGCTCCCTGAAATCCCAAATAAAGTGTTATTTTTATTTGACGTATTCGTCTGCAATGCGGGTGAACGGCGTGGGGAACTTTTCAACGAAAATGTAAAATGATTGGAACGATTTGTTCAAATTACTTGCTTGTGTAAAATGCTGTTAAAACATTTTACTCGATCCTTTATAGAGTGTTCTGCATGCTTTAGAGTAGGGATAAAAATGTATTATCTTCAAGCAAACTTGAATCCTCAATCCTGATTGGTCGATCCATGGCAACAAGCCGTGCTACATATAACCATACCGCACGGCCACGGTCCATACCGCACTCCGCGTATCGCGCTATTCTAAGCCTACGTGACGCGATTAGTGCTGCACAATTCACTGTGAATTCAAAAGTTGCGCGTAGGTTACACATGCGTGTTCCAACTTTACTGTGCGTCAAGTTTGCTTGAAGATAAATTCGTTATCGCGCTCGCCCTCGTGGAACACTGAAAATGTAGTGCGTTTGTGTCCCACATACCACTCGGCCTTCGGCCTCGTGGTATGTGGGACACAGACGCACTACATTATTCCGTGTTCCACTCGCGCTCGCAAGATAACTAATATAATGTTGACGACATCTTCTTAATTCAGATATTTATGTTTTCCTTTAGGGATTTGTCGTCCAATCGACTGACTTATATTCCAACTGGACTTTTCCGGTCGCAGACTGAGCTCCGATATCTCTACTTACAGCGGAACAAAATCAGTGTCCTGCATGCCAAGGTGTTTGCGGGACTTTATCAGCTTAAAGAACTGTAAGTTTGTCATTCAAGTTTGCTCAGTCAAAACTAAACTTTATTCATAAATACCTCAGACAGTTTAGCTATTCCTATTGGTCGAGAGCCCGTCACGTGGCCGGTCTTAAACGAATGATACAGACATGGCTAGCTGGTCTTAAAAACTTTTCCAGTGTCACAACAAAATGTGGACTCCTAAAAATCCAGTGCCTCTTACCGTTTCATTGGTTGAACGTTCACAATCCTCACGTAGGCATGCGCAACACTACATGCGAGTCAGAATTTTATAGTTCTAAATTCAAAACGCAACGCCCCAGGTGCGTTCTGCATGACATCGCGCAGAACATGCTACGCGCGCGTCAATCTCCATAAAAGGGTTGTTTACATCTTAATCGCCAGCTGAACACTCCATTATTTTGCTAGAGGGATGTATTAAACAGAGTGATAAAAAATTTCGTGCAAGGGCATTCGCACGTCCCCGCAGAAATGTAGACATTTTTACTCCAGATACTTGGTCTCCATTTAATCAAATGGGGAGGGGGGGGGGGCGGTACCATCTTCCAATGGGGGCTGTTTAAACCGGACGATCACACACACTATCGGACAATAGATGTCGCTTTCCAGGGCGGCATAATTGCTGACGGTCGCGCGAAATTCCAAATTATAGGGCATTCGTACAAAGAAGCTGGTAAAAACAGGAACCTGTGTAAAAACAAAAGGTCACTCTTTAAAAAATGTTGGGGAGGGGTAAACTCTGGTAAAAAAAAAGGGGCACTTGAATGGAAAAGAGCAGTCTTTACAAACTATTGAGGAAAAAATATATGAACTCCAATATTTCTTTTTATTTTAGGTTTATATTTGACAACCCAATCACTGAACTAGTGGACTGGCTGTTTTATGATACCAAATTGGAAAATATGTGAGTATACACATTTTGACATTTAAACATCGGAATTCCTATTTTTCAGAAAGTGCAATACACTCATTCTTTATCGTGCACTGTGTTGACATTTCTGTTTATAAGTCCACACAGTGTATGCTATGCTTACTCAGGCAAAGCTTCAATTATCTTTAACAAGGCCCTACATTCTACAGAAATTCATTGTTGTTGTTTATTTTCTTACTTGAATGTAAGGTACATTTTTCAGACCAAACTTTCGTCGATAGGGGAGCGGCCATTTGCGACCGTGAACCACACTCTCCGACGTGTGTAAGTATTACATGCTCCAGCATTCAAATCGTACAGTGATAGTTGTATTTTCTGAGACATTCCCTTATTAGAAAGGCATTGAATTGAAATATTACCTTTTTTTCCAGATCAATCTACGACAGTCACTTGAAGACCGTTTCCAATTCTGTCTGGCAAGATCTGGGGAACTCATGTTATGTGTAAGTCAATTTACTGCTCAGGATAAAGTGATTTCGGAATATCTTACTCCTTAAATACCTTTAGGATGACGAACAGAGCATATTGTTCGAAACGTCGAGTAAAACAACTGGTTCTTCTCAGAACCACACAGCTCAAAAAAGATATCATTCACATGGTGTTACCACAAACCATGCAAACCTTAAAGTATCATTTAACCTTTAGTATGGATTCGTCCGAATTATAAACTCTCTAGCAAGATGTGGATCTGGTAGGTTCAAATCAACAAAGATAAATTAAGTTCAAAGGTCAACAGGGGTAAATAATTACGGTATTTATAAAAGTTTAGGTTAAGCTTTTGGGTAAATTGGGTGTTTATAAGATTGTACATGCTTTGATAGATTTTGATGGAACTAGATGCCGTGACCCTTAACAGGGAGCCATGATAGTTGACGTTTCATACCCAAATATAGTGGCTTTGGGAATGAACGTCTCTCAGAGAAGCCGCGCGTATGCAGGGCAGCGCGGTACATGTACTGCGCTGCACATTTCGCGCGGAACATTATTCCTAATGCCCTCGGAAACTTACCCATGGAGATAAAATTCAGCCTCCATGCATGGGCGTAGCAAGGTCATTTTTATTGGGGGTAAACAAATCTTGAAAATGGCACTTGCACATCCGTGCTGAAATGTAGACACATTTTCCCCCAGACACTTGGCCTCAGTGAAATCAAATAGTGTGTGTCGGGGGGGGGGGGGGGCTGGTACTTTCTGTCGACACTTACGGACAATATATGGTGCTTTTCAGGGAGATACATGCCCGAAATAAAAAAAGGCACCCATACTGCCCGATGGCACAAAAAGGGCACTTGTTAACCACAAAAAAGCACTCTTTACAAATATTGGGGGGGGGGGGGGGGGGGTAAGCGCTGGCGAATAAAAGGGCATTTCAATAATAAAGGGCAGTATTTACATGCAAAAATGGGGGCCCCTAAGCCCCCCTCCGGACAGTTTCATATTGTTGTACGACCAATACATTGAACAAAAGGGCGCCATCTATTGTATAAGTATCACAGTTTATATTCCTGTTTTTATTTCTTTAGAGCAATCGACAACACTTTGAAGTTTGCGCCATTCACAAATAGATCTGACCTCGAAATGTAAGTACTGATATAATAATGTAGGCATACGGCAAAAAGTTGACGGTCAAAATTATGACCCCCGAAATTCGTTCTCACATGGTTTCTCGCTAGAAGGATGGCTTTGTGGACGATGATATCCTATTTTTTTGATGCCCTATCCAAATAAAATCATTCCAGGACGTAAAGTCCATTTTAAAACTTGTGGTGTCTAGGTTTTAAAGTGACAAAACATCCTGGAATGCTAGCAAAGTATATTGTACTTTTTACGCTGTGAGTTTTCATTAGAAAAAAGCTGCACGCGCTACGTTATTACGCGATGCGCGAACGTCCTGCGGCGATATCAAACGAATCGATCAACTAAATGCACGTGCCATCCACTGTGCAGAACATTTTCTCGCTGAAGATTGACACGCTAAAAAAGTCGCGTGAATAGGGCCACGCGCTAGAAAAAAATTACATACCTCATACATATTCAGTACGCCATTTTGTCTTTCTATGGGCATTTTACACGGGGTTGCCCTTTCTCTTGCTTTAATTTTTGACAGAATGATTTCTAACCGTACTCACCCCAAAGAAACATTCATGTATGAATTATATTTTGGCATTCCACAAGAAAAAAACAACAATGAGAAATCAGTTGGAAATGGGTCAAAACGAATTTTACTTACGACCGTGACATCCGGATTTTCGTTCCTAGGTTTCCTTGTTTCAATAAAGTCTCCTATTTAAGTGACTTTTTACTCAATGACCTCCGGAAATACCCGGGCGCTGTCCGAGAGTGTCAATGAAATACATTCGGCAAACTTCGGACATTTTCGGAAAAGGAAGGCATTCCTCCCGTTTTTGCCACATGCCGTGGTAAGAATTAGTCAGAAAATTATTTTTGTCTGGGAACCAGACTATGGCACGAGTTATCCATGCGCTGGTCTACTACGCACTAGACTTGACTCAAGTCGGAATCGCTCAAGTTAAGTCAGTGCCTTAAAATATAATCACAAAAATCACTTAGTTTATTTTTACATCTGTCCAGATGTACACTGTACAAAACGCGTATTATACGTACATGTGTGTGCATGTATTGCAGAGCATGTGCATACATGTGGTGCAAAAGTTAGCAATTCCGACTTGATCAATCTGCCATCAGCACCCCCCCTCGCGTGTACGCGCACGTATTCATATGCAGCAACGTCACTTGACCAATCAAAGCAACCAATTTTTGGAGACTCGATTAATATTTTCAGTAGGTATGGAAGGCAGGGTAATAATCTGCAAACGTTTTAAAAACGTAATCTTAGTTTGTAGATTTCAAACACATAAAATTTGGATGATTATGCTAGATCAGCTGCTCTTGATTGAATTTACAAAGAACACGACATTCAAATGTTATTCAAAACAAAAGGGAATATTTATTGTGGTTAACCTGAAAAAGAAGTTGAGAGATCCACTGATAGCGCTGCGTTTTGTGGGTACCCAGAGCCGTTTCAAACATAGATATAGAATAAAAAGATTATTTATGCCGGCGCACGGGGGCCGGGTAGCGCGCACGCGCGAACATCGCCCTAGCAGCATGCAGCAACTAGCTACATGAAAATATGGGTCACACGCACAACAACATTTTGCCAAGAAAAAAATTGCGTAACTTTATGATTTTGTTGTAAATATGTTAAAGGTATAGTAAAACAAATAAGACATGGATTATTTTAGTTGATTAGTCGATATTAGCTCCCCGAGGTATTGGAAGTTGGCAGAACTAATCTGTTAACTTCCAAGGGAGCATTTTACTATCAACCATCCAACCATGTTTTATTTGTATAATGCCGAAGTACCAAAGCTGTCCAGTAGAAAAAAAGTTTCCACAACAACCAGCTGTAAGTTTTTTTACAAAAAAAAATGTAAGCTAAATTCCGAACGGAAAGAATTGTTTTAAAACAAAACGACATGTATCTGAACGAACAATTTAACTTCCTATAATAGCTCTATATCACACAGGTGATCGTCACCGGCGAGGGTGTGTGCGTTCACATTTCTAATTCTATTCACGTGACTACTGGCTGCGCCCAGAAAAAAACGCGCGTTCTATACGCGATTCCGATTGAGTTCTTCAGATATCCATGATGTGGCCACGATATGAACGTCCGCGAAATTAACATGCCATACGCGCAACGATTGCCAACGGGTTTGCAAAAAAAATGAACATACTCCAGTCTGGTCATTCCAAAACTGATGATGATGCTAACCGATTCTTTTCTTTTATGTTGCTTTCTCAGCGAATTAGTTGGTGATGGATTCGCCCAGCCAATACTGGTGACGCCTGATCAGCAAACGATATTTAGCGAGTGGGGATTTACGTGTGTCCAATCTGCTGATGATTGGTTGTGTACGCCCTGCCAACAGGGCACTTTCGGGGTCTCTTGGGGTGACAAAAGTTGTATTGCATGCCCTCCAGGTAAAACAGTTCATTCCAATGACCAGTCCAAGTCAACTAAGCTTAAACATTGTCACGTACGTTTCACTCCCATAGAATGTGCTATATTTATAAGTCATGTAGAGGTGCGGCGGGAACTTGACTGCACCCTCGGAAACCATACGAAATCGGTCCTGGCAACCATGCACTTCCTCTGGTTAGATGCCAAGTTTAACTGTTACAAAGGCCTTACTCTCGTAATTTCAGAAGATTTTTAATTTAACTAGTGTTTTGTGTATTAAGCAAACCCTTTTGCTGAAAATTCATGTTCGGGAAATTTGTTTTGGTGTGGTGATGTTTCCCTTGTAAAGTGGTTGCTAAGATGCCAAACAATTATGAGTTTCGATCGTTCATGTGACACTTTTTCGCTGAAGATTTCTTGATATCTGAAGTTTTCACAGGGCAATAAAATACCGAACATAAAACCTTACGTGGCGATCTTTTACAAACAATAAATTTCCTTTCGCTATTCTTTTTATTAAAATTAGCAATTTGAAAGGCCGACTAAACAGTATTATTTGAGCTTGTGTAGATTGCTCGCAATACGTGGTCCCAGACCTTAACTAACCCGACATCGTAGTTACGTATTTAATATATTGAGTAGTAGTAGTTTCTACTGATGTAGTAGTTTCTGACTGGCAACATGGGGATAAAACCTAGGTGAGTTTGATTTTATGAAGTAAATCTTTGAATATCGGTGATCAAAATGTGAAGCATTTAGCTCCATTTAAGTGCTTTATGTCGACATTTTACACAAAAAAGTTTTAATCAATTCCGAGGGAAAAAATGTTGGAGACTCCCAAGTTTATGATCCTGACGCGTTTTAGCAGTACATGGGGAAAATCCGTGCCAGCGAGTCGGCCGGGAGATGGGGGATGACCAAAATCATAAACGTGCCCAGGAATGGAAAGCTTTTGCGTTGTTCGTCCTCCGTTTGTCAGTGCTATTTAGTACATTTGTGTGTTTTGAAAGTTAGAAAATAACCTTTAGATCGGCATTCTTTTTGTTTCTTACCACAAAATGTTGGTGGTGGATGAACCAATGACCCATTCTTTCCGGTCAAAGGTGGGAGGGCACGTAAGCATATATCCTCCCCACCCCTGGGATTTACGCTCTTGGACGAAGTATTAATTAAAATGCACACTGGGATTTTTAATTTGGCGGTACGAGGTTAGTCTGTACGTTTTACTTTTTTCAATAACGGTATAGGCTATTGTGTATCAAGAAAATTACCGATGTAATACGTGATTTTGTCATATCGTCACACTGTTTTGTCCAGGATTTTTGTTTTCTCCTCACAATACAGGGGGCTTTTTCCAAATCAAGACGGGGCAAGTGGCTGACCCCTCTCAAGGTATCAACTGTCAGAGATGCAACAATGGCACCTACGTAACGCCTGAGACGCACCCTGGTATCAGTCCTGCGAATTGCACAGTGTGTCCTACGGGTACCAATAAGAGCCTTCACGCTGGCTTCCGCGCCTGTCCATGTCTGGATGGTTTCTACCGTACCGACCGGTTCGGTGAATGCCATCCGTGTCCAACCGAAGGAGTCAACTGCTCAGAAGAGTACCAACACCTCCTGTCTGGCTTCTGGTGGACCTGGGACTGGGGTTTATCGGATGACAACTACCTATCCTACGAGCGATTCGTCCAAGATGTACGCACTGAAAGTCCCACCTTTGACAACACAAGCAAGAGGTTTGAGGGCGTGTTACCCAAGGTGAATAAATGTCCTCGCAGTGAGTCGTGCGTGAACGCTGTGCTGGGTGGTATCAAGGCAGAATGCGAGGAAGGCTACACGGGTTGGCTTTGCTCCCAATGCAGTCGTTACTATTACCCTTGGTTCGATCACTGCTTCGAGTGTCCCGAATGGTGGTGGTTCCTGCTTGAAGTCATTGCTGTATGCGTGGTCATTGCTCTGATTGTCATCATCATAGCTTGGCAGGCACGTAAGGTCCGAAGAAGCGGTCGGTCTGCCGTCAACATGCTGCTTGCTCGAGGGAAGATCCTACTGGGTTTCTACCAGGTCATGGGGGAGATATTCTCAGCGCTGGATGACATTGCCTGGCCGAATATATTAACAAGTGTTGGCTCTGTCTTCAGACTGTTGGAGGTGAACATCATGCGACTGTTTATCAGTCCCAGGTGCTATTTCCCCAACTTCACTTATCCTAATATTTACATTGAGTTCCTGGTAGGCATTGTATTTGTGGTGTTCGTTCTGCTCGCCGCCTGGTGTTTTTACAGCTCCAAGATGTGTTACTTGAAAGCAAAGAAAACTCCTCGTGCAGAACGAAAAGCTCTTCTGTCGCAGACCAAGCAGAGGTGTTACATGTTTGTGGTGATACTGCTCTTTATTTCCTACCCCAGCCTGTCTAGTGTTATTCTCACATTATTACCCTCTGGGTGTCACCTCTTCTACGTTGACGAAAAAGACACCCTCAATGTGACCAGACTTCGAGCCGATTATTCGATCGATTGCCAAACGCAGCAGCATGTTCATTTCAACTACGCAGCTGAGGCCTCCCTCTTCTACGTTGTTGGGTTTCCCTTGGTGTTGTTTCTCCTCTTGTGGTGGAACGTCAGAAAACGGAAGAAGACCGGGGCTGTCGGTGGTAGACGGGAAAGTGAGGATCAGCCTTTGCTGGATGATGCTAGTCAATGTCGTTTGGATGCCGGTTATGTCGCCAGTTGCAGAAACGAGGTGGCTTGTGAGACAGATGATGAACTTCTCCTACACTCGGACCCGCAAGGTCAGGCTGTATTCAATTGGGAGAGTTTCCTGTGCGAGAATTACAAGCCAAGGTTCTGGTACTGGGAGATTCTGGAGCTGGCCCGCAAGATTGTCCAGACGCTGTTTGTGCTGCTATACGGGCCCGACGATCACTTCACCATGTTCGCCACCATAGTCATATCGGTGGGCTTTCTGCTCCTGCACGCTTACGTCAAGCCCATGAAGGATGCTGTCGAGCATCGTCTGCAGATGTGCTCGCTTGGTACCATCTTCCTGAACCTGTTGGCTGCGTCGCTGCTTCTGTTGCCGAGCGAGGATGCTCAATCAAGCCAGAACAGAAAGGAGGTCCTCTCTGTTGTTCTTGTGCTGATGAACCTCAGCGTCATCGTTTTTGTCATTGGTAAAAATCTCTTTCTATCTACCTGTTGCATCCAAACGATATCTTTACATCTTGCATTAATTCTGGGTAATAACCAAAAAAATCATCATCCTTTGAACGAAGAGACGCATATGTCAAAATTACCATTTCGATTTCGATTTGTTTTTACTATTTTGCCTTAAAACATGGTACTGAACCATTTTGACATGTTTCTGTGAGCAAAACATCATTAATTTCCAATCGAAAACACTTTGTCTTCAAAATCCACATAATGTGGTTCTTCGTGAAAACGGTGACGAAATAACTCTTTGTTTGGTTTTGCATATTAGTCGTACGAGCTTTTACATGTAGCTTTCAAAATCAAAATAAATATTGTATATAAATGCTTTCTGGCAACTAGTAACAAGAAATCTTATTTGTTTTTATTAAATCTTGTTTCATTGCTACAGCTAGCTTGGTCTGGACCGGAGTAAAGGCTCTATGGCGTCATGGATGCTTGCGTAGCTTAGGATCGTGCATCGCTGGGGTGTGGGGCTGGTGCAGTCGACCCCTTCATCGTGGCCTAGGGCTGACTAACCATGTTTACGATAGCGTCGACGAATAGGATTCATCCACAATGACAGTCAACTTTAAGTACTAGACCTGATTCGATGTAAACTATACAACGGTCAAATTCTAAGAGATAAGACACACGGGGCAGTTTCAATCACATTTAATAGTGAATTCTCAAGAAGGCTCATAGTAATTTCCTCAAGAACATTGTAGAGTAATTCCCCAAGAACATTCCAGAGTAATTCCTCAAGAACATTCTAGAGTAATTCCTCAAGGAAATTCAAGAGCATTTCCTTGAGAGCAGCCGATGGTAATTCCTCAAGACAGTCGATATAGTAATTCCTGAAAAACAGTCGATAGTAATTCCTTAAGAAAAGTTGATCGTAAATCCTCGAGAACTGTCGCTAAAGACATAGTCTAAAACTTTAATCGCTATAAAAAGATCACGCGACCTAATAGACTAATCAGGAGCTGTTGATTCCTCGAGAAAAGTTTCGTGGTTTAATGTTATCGATTAAAAAGAAATAATTTACATATCTGTATACCAAGATGCCACAAAGTGCATGTTTATAAGTAGACCTAGAGGTCGGATTGCTGTGAACGAAATGTTTGTTCAGAAGTAGTGGTATCTCTGTGGAGTTATTGATTAATTTGCGGTGTATACTATCAGTAAATATTTCTATGTAATAATATTCTGGCTTTGTAAAGGTAATTCGTTTTATGTACATTTGTTTCTGATTTGTTTTCGTTTTCTGTAATTAATGCTTTGCATGTAAATTCAATATCAAGTTTTAAATTCACCAAGTAAGATGAGTAATTCCTAAAGAGCAGTCGCTAGTAATTTCTTAAGAACAGTCGATAGTAATTCCTTAAGAACAGCCGATAGTAATTCCTTAATTCGTATTTTTAGCTTTGTAGTTTGAGGGGACATTATTGGCTTGAATGCGCCCAATTGGGCTACAAAACCTTATTTCTACCCTGTTTAGATCGATGAAAACTGACGTGTAAGACATGTCTAAAACTTTAATCGCTACAAAAAGATCACGTGACCTAATCGACTAATCAACAGCAGTTGAAAGTACATGAAATTCCTCGAGAAAAGTTTCGTAGTTTAATGTTATCGATTAAAGAGAAATGATGTAGTCTTTATACCCAGATGCCACAGAGAGTATGTTTATAGCTTGGCTTTGTAAAGGTCATTTGTTTGTGTAGATTTGTTTCTGATTTGCTTTCTTTTTCTGAAATTTATGTTTTGCATGTAAATTCATTATCAAGTTTTAAATCCACCACGTAAGATTAGAACGACAGATTAAGCTTGAATGGATAACTGTGCCTGGTACAGCACCGGCACCCCGTCATCAGCGAATTATCACATTATCACTTTGCAAAATCGTGTTTTACAATGTGGCGTCGGCAAAAACAAAAACACTCCATGGAAAAAAATGGACGCCGTATACCAACCTACAAACATGCAAGCCTCTATGCATTGTCTGCAAAACAATGACATAAATGAGGCCTTACTTTTAATACTGAGGCCTTATTAAATGACAGTGATCATTCTAAAATATTAATATCGTAACGCTTCTTGCTTGCGATAGATTACACGTCTTCATCAGCTCAGCCAATCAAAGGCTAAGTTTGTCACTGGCAGTAAAATTGACCAATCACAAGCCACTGACGTGGCATGAGGTCCAATTCTACCAAATTCTGTCCAGGTACTGTCAAATTCCACCCCTGCCGGGCCTCTTGGTCATTTAATGTTATCTACAGTGTGATATCGGGGTATTTCATTTTATCCTCAGCTCTTGAGAAAACATACAAACGTTTCTCGTCGAATTACCAGGCAGTTCTTTTACGATAAATGCCGTTTTGTACTTGCTACTGAAATGCTTTTAGTTAAAACGAGTGTAAAAAAAATAATAATAACAAGTTGATATCCAAATATTTTTATCATGAGATAATCTGAAAGTGAACATATCACATAAAGTAACGTATGCACTAACTACTTTTAGATACTAATTTTGACAAATTGAAATAATTCAAATCTAAATGACTACTACTGCTTATAAATATGGAGTATGAAGCTTAGTGGAGCGCGAAATTGATTATTTGAAGCGGACCTTTGCTTTTCTGCTTGTATACTGCAATATATAACATTAATATTGACCTAAGACGTTTAATAACCTGAGAACCAAACTATTATTGATTGTTTGCTATTTTGCTTGTATATTGCGGCACAAAACAAAAAGGTTCCAATGACCTATGACGTTGAATAAACCGAGTGACAAGAACACATTCATGATTGAGTTTTCCCGATTTATCAAACGTGTGCTGTTTGCTTATGCCTCCAAACAATTTGTTCACCCTTCAACCTTCAACCTCGTCTACCATCACTTTAATCTTGATTTTAACCCTGGAATCAGAACTAAGTTTCCACCTGTGATTGGTTATCACATTTTTTGTTCCCGATCGTTTGAAATGTCATCCATGAAACACTCCATGAACAATTTGGACGCCGTATACAAATCAAAACATGCAAGCCTTTATGCATTGTCTGCAAAACAAAGAAATAAATGAGGCCTTACTTTCAATATTGAGGCCTTACTTATTGAATGACGGTGATCATTCTAAAATATTGAAATTTTTTCACTTTGTTTCAAATGAACAAATAGTTTAGAAATAGGTTTAGAGTTCAGATCCGGATGCGTCTTTTGAGCATTACTACCTTTGAATTTGTTTAGTAATACTCTACTGATCCGACTTCCATCGTCGGCCTTGGCACTCGTATTATGCATCGGTTTAAGCGTGTTGGTAATTTATCACTTGTACTCCGTTATAATATACGATGTCAGTAAGTAGGCCGAGCTGTCTACCATGACATCGAGGGAATAAATGGTTGCCTTCTGTAAAAAGAAAAGTGTAGTCATAGTAACCATTCAAACAACAAGCCTCAGCCTGACCTTTCTTCATCAAAATCGCCGGAACAAAATCTCTATCGTGGGAGGCAAACGTTTATCATCGGTTCGTCTTTTCAATTAGGACTGATGCTTAAATTAAAACCGCACGTCTTCGTTAACTGACAGGTTGTTGAAATAAAAAAAGGCTTTCGTATTAAATTTTAAGAATAGAATCAAAGAGCGTGAAATTGATATCAAAGGCTATAGCTTTATTATTTCACCACTTGCCTTGATATGGTGATCGATAACGACTTAAGTGCCTCGTAACGTTTTTCTTTATATTGCATGCAATAGGATTACACGTCTACATAAGTTCAGCCAATTAAGGGATGGGTTTGTCATTGGCAGTAAAACTGACCAATCACGAGCCGCTGACGTGGCATGAGGTCCAATTCTACCATTTCTGTCCAGGTTATGTCAAATTCCATCCCTGCCGGGCCTAGCCTCTAGATCACTTAGAGCTATCTACAGTGTGACATCGAGGTATTTCATTTTATCCTCAGCTCCGGAGCAAGACAAACAAGCGTTTGTCATCGAATTACAAGGCCGTGCTTTTACGATCTATGCTGGTAGTTACTACTGAAATGACATTATTAAATCAGATCCGACAAATTGCTAGATTTTTTCTAGATCAAACTCATTTCGACGATGCAGCTTTCGTTTCAAGAGGAGAAGATGGCGATACAGAAAATTTTTTTTGATTTATTTTACATTACATCCCTTGTATTCCAGGGAGCTATTTCGTCTGCCTCTGGAGTTGAAACTTCATCTTATACAAGGGAACATACATTTTATGCTGCTGAAAATCGCGCATTAAGAGGCTTTGCATTTGCTTTTAAAACCGTGCGATCTCGTGTCATCTGCGGACGGGAATGCAGCATGGATGAACGTTGCAAGTCTTTTAACTTCAACGACTGCAATAAAATGTGCGAGTTGAACCTTGCCACAAGACGAGAGCATCCCGAAGACTTCAATGCAACTCAAGGGAGTGTGTACTTTGATGCAGATGAGAACACACCTCTGTACTCACTGACTGATAGCTCCTTGAATCGCTACAGAAGCTGCAAGATGCTCTTAGATGCCGGTTATCGTTCAAGCGGTATCTACACAATCTACCCAGAGGGATTCGGTCATTGCAGTCTGTGCGTCTTCTGCGACATGGAAACTGACGGCGGGGGATGGATCGTGTTTCAGAGGCGACAAGATGGCAGCGTGGACTTCTACCGTAACTGGGCCGAGTACCAGTCTGGCTTTGGTAATCTGTCCGGTGAGTTCTGGTTGGGCAATGACAACTTGGTGACTCTGACGTCTGATGATTCACGTGGAACATGGGAGCTACGCGTTGATTTAGAGGACTGGGAAAACAACACGGCATGGGCAAAGTACGCAGATTTCCAAATATCCTCGGGTGAGTACAATCTGAAGTATGATCGCAAGGTCGGCGGCACTGCCGGTGACTCTCTTCGGTGGCATAAGAGTCGTCCCTTCTCAACAAATGATCGTGACAATGATGCCGTGTCGTATAACTGTGCATGGTCCTGGAAAGGAGCCTGGTGGTTTAATGATTGTTTTCACTCTCACTTGAATGGTCCATATTTTCCGTTTGCGCATGTAGAATATGCCCGTGGTGTGCAGTGGAAGGCATGGAAAGGGTATTATTATTCTCTGAAATCATGCAGCATGAAAATGCGTGAATTGGGACCATGAATAATAATTAGCCACTTGAATGTATCGTTTATGGTGATACTTGTAAACTAAAATGGATGTGATCTCGCGGGCATGGGCGTCGTGAGGGGGGGGGGGGTCAAGGGGGGGGCGCTTGCCCCCCTGGAAAAGCCACACAAAAAAAGGAAGAAAAGAAAAAAAGAGAAAAAAAAAAGAAAAGAAAAAGATGCGCGAAGTCATAGTGGTGTAAATTTAATGAGTGGGGGGCGAGGGCAAAATGTCCCCGCCCCCGTCTAAAACTGATAAGTCGAAAACTTGTTGAGAAATACAAGAATATTTTGGGAGAAATATGTTTTGCCCCCCTCTAGAAAAAATCCTGGCGACGCCTATGCTCGCGGGGTGAGGGGCAGGGGGATGCTCTGCCTCCCCCACCCTGCAACACCCCCCCTCAAAAAAATAAAAATAAATAAAAAAATACCATTTAGTACGAAGACCCAGAGGGGACATTGGGGATATGAATATTATTTATTCTTTAGTATATATAGCTTTTTCAGCTATTTTAAAACGTTTATCATTCGAATCGACCGTTTCTAATATTCAAATTAGTCCATCAACATCAATTTAGTGCACTTCTAATGTTTAATTATGTCTTTTGTCAGACAATTTCAAATTCATTATCAAGCATATAGCGGCACAAAAACGAAAAGGTTCCAATGACCTATGACGTTGAATAAACCGAGTGACAAGAACCAATCCATGTTTGAGTTTTCCCGATTTGTTGAATGTTTACTTTTTGTAAGAACGTGATTCTAGTACTGTGTTCGGTAAGGCCAAAAAAAAAGTCTCCGGTTTCTGGTATGCGCGCGCGTCGCCGTAGCCATGCGCGTCGGCAAAATGAAAAAGTTTTTTTTTCAATGAAAGATGATGTCTCAAAACCGCCAAACTCACTGGTTTGACTGGAATCCTGCTGCTGCACAATTTTAACGTGTTTTTAGATGGGGTTATGATCGAGAATAAGCTTTATGTGGCCTGTCTGGTCTCCCATAATATTTGCACTAAGTTTAGTCGGGCACCATTTGCAATCATCAGCCGACATTTGAAGCCAAAAAAAATTGGGCAACAAAACGCGCTTTGAACGAAATGATGTTAATCGGAACGAGCAATAAAGAGTAGGATACAGACATCCACACAACAATCCTATAAAAAAATGGGCATTTTTGTGGTATTCTTGTGATAAGTGTGCGAGACCGGCTTTCGGGGTCCACTTTTGTGAACCCAAGATGTCGGACTGTTCTAGCAAGTTGCGATTCCAGCCTAGCCATGACGTGTTCACATTTTGTGGACGTGTAAGAAACCACATTCGTGCATTGGTGCCGTGTGCAATTTTATGTGACATACACAACGTGTATCGTACGTATACTGAAACGACAGGAAAAACATTTACGTACTCCGTCCTTGTCCGATGTAAACAATCAGGATTTTTTTCGTCTTTTCTCGGGAACGGTAAGACAATAGGATTCTGACCGTTCAGCGGGCACATCGAGTCTTCTTTAATCCGTTGTTGCATATAGAACACTATGACAGCCGAATTGACCAATCAAAAGCTTAGTCTTCGTTTTTCTTACGATCGAAATGTGTTCATAATTTCTAAAGTCGACTGCGATTGGGTGGTGCGCGGTGTCTCACGGGCCGTCGAAGAAATAATGCAAGCACGAAGTGGATGTGTTTTGGGCTTTTTTTTACCAATTTTGATTTACAAATGTATTTAAATTTTGAACATGTAATACACTATATGTCTACTACTAGGCCTATACATATTGTAAAGAAATACAGGTTTTCCCGGCAGCCGCTTTGCATAGTCCGTGTGTTATTTTCTGCCGTAGCCAAGTAATTCAGACGCGCCTGCGATCTGACAGTTAGGAAAACAAGTCCCTACTCATTGTCGAGATGCTCGGCACACCAAGAGAATGATGACTGACACTCCCATAAGACAAGCATCCTCATCATTGACAACAAAGGATTCTAACTAGATGCTAACAACATACCCACCACACGCATGTCAAGTCAAAACACAAACCTACAGCCACAAAATAGCCACGTTGATTGCTCCTTTTTTTCACTGAGCAATCAGTGTCTCTCTAGATGTTACCAACATACCCACCACACGCATGTCAAATCATAAAACAAAACAACAGCCCCAAAATTGCCACGTTGATTGCTCCTTTTTCACTGAGCAATCAGTGTCTCTCTAGATGTAAACAACAAACCCACCACACGCATGTCAAATCATAAAACAAAACAACAGCCACAAAATAGCCACGTTGATTGTTCATTATTTCTTTTCACTAAGCAATCAGTGTCTCTCATCTCCGCGGAACGCTATTGCTGGAAACCAGGAGCGCTACGTCGCCCGTTTCATTCCAGACGGCGGCTGCGATGTGGTAACACATTGATATCAGCGGTGTTAGCGATGGTCTGATGCAAAAACGCTAGTGGAGATTTGATGACAGAACGCGTTAAACTTAGCCTGCTTTCATAAACTGGAAAAAAATGTCGCCCAAAAGTGACAAACATCCCTGACAAATGTTGAAAATTGCTAATAATGATTAGTTTTGCTTTGAATGCTCTAGAAATCATTGATTGCATGATATTTGCGAGTAAATACGGCTTCATCATCACAGGGAAACCTCGAATTGCCGCATTTTATTGGAGTCTTCATCGTTTAATACGGAACACTCAACAAAACAATTCGTTACGTTTAGGTTAGCTCCTTCAATTATGGAAAAACTCCACGATATCTTGAAGGGTTTTGGAATCACCTTATTATTGGCAACGGTAATGTTAGTCAGTGGACATCAATGTGGTTCGCGCCAACAAATCACGTACGCTGCGGAAAATAGCGCTCTGCGAGGGTTTGCATATGCAACCCAAACTGTGCGATCTCGTGTCGTCTGCGGACGGGAATGCAACATGGATGAACGTTGCAAGTCGTTTAACTTTAACGACTGCAATACAATGTGCGAGTTGAACCTTGCCACAAGACGAGAGCATCCCGAAGACTTCAATGCAACTCAAGGGAGTGTGTACTTTGATGCAGATGAGGACACACTCCTCTACTCACTGACTGATAGCTCCTTGAATCGCTACAGAAGTTGCAAGATGCTCTTAGATGCCGGTTATCGCTCAAGCGGTATCTACACAATCTACCCAGAGGGATTCGGTGATGGCGGTCTTCGTGTCTACTGTGACATGGAAACTGACGGCGGAGGATGGATCGTGTTTCAGAGGCGACAAGATGGCAGCGTGGACTTCTACCGTAACTGGACCGAGTACCAGTCTGGATTTGGCAATCTGTCTGGTGAGTTCTGGTTGGGCAATGACAACTTGGTGACTCTGACGTCTAATGATTCACAAGGAACATGGGAGCTACGCGTTGATTTAGGGGACTGGGAGGGCAACACGGCATGGGCAAAGTACTCGGAGTTCAAAATCTCCACTGGTAAGTACAATCTGAATATTGGCCAATACGATGCAAGCGGCACTGCCGGTAAATCTCTTGGGCGTCACAGAGGACTTCCCTTCTCAACAAAGGATCGTGACAATGATGTATCGGAGAGAAATTGTGCGCAATCCTACCACGGAGCCTGGTGGTTTAAGGATTGTTTGCGCTCCAACTTGAATGGTCGATATTATCCAGAAGAGCACTCAGCTGGTGATCGTTTGGGCATCCAGTGGGGCAAGTGGAAAGGCCATTTCTATTCTCTGAAAGCCTGCCGGATGAAAATACGTGTGATGGGACCATGAATACTTGTTTTGAGAACATGAAATTCGGGCGATTCACAATGCAGTGCGCCACCAAGAGTTTGTCATGGAGAGTCCATTTTTCTAGTTTACGGTCGACAAAATGATGGCCCATTTGAATGAGTGTCAGTAGACAACTTGAACTAATTTGTTATAGATTGGGGCATAGCGTTCTGCCGCCCCACAAAAAAAGACACATTGATAAAAAGAAAACAAAAGAGCAAACAGATACTCGAAACATACCTTTACGAAACTACTGACTGGAAAAACGAACAATTTCAAATGTCCCGCGCTGTGAATTTGTCGACCATCTCCCAAAATGCACTGGGAAAAATGAACTCTTCGTGGCAAACTCTTGGTGGCGCACTGCATTGTGAATCGCCCGAATTAAAACCCACCGCGCACGAAGGATACGTGCTAAACACTGGATGCCGTTTCCTACATATCACCGTGTGCGGCTACATTTTTTTCCGTTTTCAGCCTCGCGACGCCGTTAGGCAAACATCTGTCCTGATTGATTTCTTTCTCCCCGCGAGGCGAAAAACTCACCGAGTGCGGGCAAACCTGAGCTACCTGTTGAGCCAAAACCATTAATTATCCAATGAAAGCACACATTCTGTTTGGCATTATTTCAAGGTGGCGGTCCCCAAAGAAAGTGTTAGCGACATTGTCAGTGACTCACATTTCAGAAGACAAGCTGAATGATTTGTGACCAGATTAAGTTTGTTTTGTCGGTCGCAGGATTTTAAAATGGCGACCAAGGGCAGCAGGCTTTAAAAGAAATTGAAAAACACTATCTCGAAATCAGGTGAACAGAGGCGAAAGAAATCAAACAGGATAAAATTGTTTATTCTCAGCATAACTTCCGGTTTGTCAAATCCACTTTTGTTTCTGGAAATACAAACGTAATCGAAAAAAATAAATCGAATGAAAACATGGAAATCGAATGAAACGGCGGGTCAACGTTTAACCTCCATTGGAACTGGTATACTTGCAGACTTTTTAAGGTTTTTTGACGCCAGCAATAGCGAAAAAAACAAGATGTATTTTTTCCGGCGCATTATTATATTTAATACCTTTGGGTAGATGTGACATTTAATCATCGCATGTTTTATGATATATTGATTAATAACAGCAAAAACAAAAAAATATATTTAAAACTGGCTTGTGATCACAGAAGGACAAACGACAATATTCTAAATGTTTTTGAGGCTTAATTGGTCGAAAAAATACAAATATATTATTGCATTAATGACATTTAGTTCAATAAATAATATCAATTGAAAATTTTGATCGTAGGGTTTCCTCTGGTTTCGTCGTTGCGCTAATACATATGTATATATCAATGAAAAACGAAACGACTCTCCAAAAGGACAATAATTAAAGAAGTTGATAACCAATTTGTTTCATAAGTTAATCTGAAAGTAAACATATCACGTAATGCAACGTATGCAGTGTCGTACTTTTGGATACTATATTTTGAGAAAATGGAACTCAAGTGTAAATGATTACTGCTTAAATATATAGATATGGAGTATAAGGCTGCAGGGACCGCGAACTGGATTATTAAAGTGGACCTAAATGTGTTATTTTGCTTTTCTGCTTGTATATTGCAACAAATAACATTAATATCGACCTGAGACGTTTAATAATCTGAGTGATAAGAACCAAACCATTATTGTTTCTTTTCACTCAGTTTGCTGTTTTCAATTTTGCTTGTATATTGCGGCACAAAAATAAAATGGTTCCAACCAACTATGACGTTGAATAAACCGAGTGACAAGAACCTATCCATGAGTGAGTTTTCCCAATTTATTCAACGTTTTCTGTTTGCAAAAATGTGATTCTAGCACTGTGTTTAGCAGCTGTGGGGCGAGCGGTGTAGGCTTTACCCTTCCATCTATAGCTTAAACTTCGTCGAAAGGAAGTGGCAAAAAATTGAGAAGCTTTTCAAATTTATAAAGCTTTACTGACTTGATATTTGATATTATGTTATAAAGTGTTTGAACAAGTCAGTTCAAATAATGAACTAATAATTTCATCATTTAAGTGCAAAGTCATCCGGATACTTTATTGAAATAATATTGAAGTTATCACAGTGCTTGATACACCTCTGTAGAGCTATAACCATGCAATAAATTCAGAATATGAGTTAAACAAACTTTGGCATCTCTCTCTTCTGGACAGACTGTTTCGTACCATAAGGCACTCATCAGCAGAACGACGAAAAATAGAATACATCTTACCTCATTTCGAATCAAACGCGCGCACGCGTTACGCGCGTTACGTCATTGAAGTTAGTACGCGTTTACGTCACTGAAGTAAGAACACATCTGTCTCGATGCCTGCACTTGGAGACGATTTCGCTTCTCTTATTCAGTGTACCTAGATCTGGCCTACATATGATGTACTTCTCTGCTATACACAAACTGCATCTCTTGTTTACGTTAGAGTATGGCAGTGCTTTCTGAACAATGTCCTATTTGATTTCATTGTCTTTCCCCTCGCCCTTTAAGTCCCATATATGTTTACTTAGCTCGGTTTGCGCCCTCTTGCTCTCGGATCTGAATGACTGCTTGTGGTTCGCCAGTCTCGCCTTGAAGGTTGTGGATGTCAGCCGGACGTATGCCTCCTTCCTGCCTTCGCTCGTGACGGTGGCCTGGTACACGATGTTCTTGCTGAGGCACTCCCCGTTCAGCGGGCCGAATTGCGGGGGCAACTGCATGTTCTACCACCGACGTCGTCCTCTTGTTTTACCTTCCGTTTGTTGATTGACTGGATCGTTGCCTTCATGTTCGGCATGCAGCTGTACGATAACTTTACTGTGTTCCGGTTGAGCACTTTGTGAAGCTTATGTTCCTTAAGGAAGCATTTATCTATTATCTGAAGGACTTTCTTTCCAATGTTGGTACGTACGTTCTTGTTGTATGGCGGGTTGTACCATGTCACCTCCCTTTTTCTAGTCCTTTTCCTGGTGTTATTGCCCGGTGTGTATGTCAACCGATACTTGTGCCCGCTTTTTTGCAGAGCCTCCTGGTAGGCCGGGGCAGCTTTCTCGAATGCCTCCTTGCTCGACGAGATGTTGGAGAGTCGCTTGTTGATTCCCTCTGGTATGTGTTTGATGACGGCGGGTGGATGGTTTGACTGGACATTTACATATATAGAGGACATTATGTACGGCTTGTACCCTCCCGTTCACAGGTCTAATGTGACGTCAAGGAAGTTTACTGTTGCCTTGTTGGCTTCGATCGTTACCTTTAAGTCATTTTCCCGGAATACTTGCCATATTTCCTTCTTGATGTTTTCTATTTTCTTGGGGGTCTCATTGAATACTGCCAGGCCGTCGTCCCTGTATAGTCCCACTCTATTTCCGTACTTTGGTTTCAGGATCGACAGCATATATGCTACGACCAGCTCGCATGACTCCGCGCCGTCGAAACTGGCCATCGTGACATCGAATTTGCTGTCTGCATTACGCTTTTTCCACGGTACCTGGTCGTTGAATACCACTGTCTGTTTCGCGTGGATGATGATATCTTTCTCCTTGCTGCTAATGTTCTCGTAGTTTTCCGCGAACCCTAGGGCCTTCAGGAGAAGCTTTTCCGTTATCGAGGGGTAGAACTCCACAATGTCGAAATTTATAAAGGTCGATTCTTGCTTGCTTGGGATTTTCTTATACCAGTCCAGTACGGCGTCCGTGCTTTTCAACAGGTTGAATCCCGTCGCGCTTATGACTTTACCGACGATTCTATCGAGGATCACTTTACTTATAATGTCCTATCTCTGATTTGATTGGGCTGATCAGTCGACATGATGGTTTGTTACCGAAGTTGTCCTTGTGGTCCTTCAAAGTAATGAAGACTTCCCTCTCGGCCAATTTATCTATGCGGTCGCCCAGTCCAAGACTTTTAGCAATTCTTTTCGCTTCGCGATTGATTTCCGCTACTTCCTTTTGCTAGGTTTTCTTGTATGTTTTGGTGACATTCGCCCTGACAAGATTTACATAGTCATCTTTTTCCATCTTGTAATAATGTGTAGTCTTATCAGCCTTGACGGTAAGCTTGTCATCGTTCCTAATCGTATTTATGTCTTCGTTCAATTTGCGTTGGAACTGGCTAGGTCTTCTCAAATTCGACGTTTTGAATCAGACTCACCAAACTGTCTTCGAATTCCCTCAGTTCCGGGATGACCGGTGGTGTTTTCCGCGAGTTAAATCCGTACGTTTCCTCCTTCTCAGCCTTGTCTTTGTTCAGCTCCGGATTCAGAAAGAAGAATGATCTCCATCTAATCCTTTTGATGAACATTTCCGTTTTCTCGATCAGGCGCTTGAGCTATGTTGTTCTCGATGCTACCGGAATATTCTTCGTCGAATATTCAAAGTTCACTCTTTCCATTTTGAAGTGCGACGTCAAGAGAGTGCTCAACGATAAAAATAGGAGCTAGTATATCCAATGAAATCGCCTTCTACCACAATTCACAGTGCTCGATACATCTCTGCAGAGCTATAAACATGCAATAAATTCAGAATATGAGTTAAACAAACTTTTGCATATCTCTCTTCTGGACAGACTGTTTCGTACCATAAGGCACTCATCAGCAGAATGACGAAAAATAGAATACAAGTGAATAGAATAGAATAGAATAATGATTCCTATATATATAATTTCCACTGACTATAAGACCATTGGTACGTTTGTTAAACAATTGACTTCAAATAACAAAATAACTATCATGATATTAACCGTGCAAGCAGCTTGTCTCGTATGCATGTTCAAATCTAGCATTTTATTTTGTTACAGTCATTCATTTGGGAACATGGGTTTTGTACTTTGTCGCATTGTGTTAGGTAATACCAGTAACTAGTCCTTTGTTTATGATATCAAATTTAATACCTTTTGAAGTCCGTTAAATAAGAAAAAACTACCATTCGAGGGACCGGTGTTAGCGAAAAAATGGTACAAAATGTTTTAGAATTTCTTTTAATCGTACATAATATAAGACCAACCAACATCCTCAAGAGTTCAGTCTGTTTTGAATTCACAAATTGGACAGAATGTCAATAGGGCTATAACCAAACTGATCAGCGCATGACACGCTTGATTCATCTACAGATAGCTTGACTCGTGTTGGCTTTCAGTCGATGTACTTTTTGCGCGTTTCAAAACGAGTCACAATCACCATTACGCGGTAGCTCTGAGAATACACACAATAGATGAAAACCATCAACTGCCTGCCTCGCCTTCCTTGGCAAATTCGAAATGGCTATGAATGAAATCAGCTTAACAGTTTGGCCCATGGAGCACCAATTACATTGCACATTACACGACCAGAATAATAGATTTGTAAAAAAATAAGATAATTGACTGTCTGACATGAAAATGTATATCTTTTATCGTAACGAAAACCACTAAATTATGAATCTAAAGGTGGCTCATCTGTGGCTCATCAGTGCGAGCTGTTTATTAGTGTTCATTTCAATGACCAATCAATGTCTCTCATCTCCGTGGAATGCTTACCTTGCTGGAAACCAGGAGTGCTACGTCACTAGTTTCATTCCAGACGCTGCGCTGTAGCAACGAGTTTACATCAGTCTGTATTGTTAGCGATGGTCTGATCCAACGGAGCTAGCGAATCTTAGCTGATTGTACGGGACAAGATTGACTGCGTGTTCTCGCACAAAACTAATCATTTTACTGTCATAAAAGGAACAGATTTAAGCTCCAGGAGTCATACTTTTGTGTTGAGTGCGATTCATAATAGCTGTCTGTATTATTATCCGCTCAGAACTTTGACTTACGCTCTTGTTCGAGGCTTGACTTAAGATTGACATAGTGGACAAATTAATTTAAAAAAAAAAGACTCAGATTATTCCATAATGGCACAACTGAACGCCGATTTGGAAGTTGTTAAACTGATGATCATTTTGGAAGTGGTCACGTTTGTCGGTGGGTATCAATGTCATCCACGCCAACAGATCATGTACGCCGCAGAAAATCGGGCACTGCGAGGGTTTGCATATGCAAACAAAACTGTGCGATCTCGTGTCATCTGCGGACGGGAATGCAGCATGGATGAACGTTGCAAGTCGTTTAACTTCAACGAATGCAATAAAATGTGCGAATTGAACCTTGCCACAAGACGAGAGCATCCCGAAGACTTCAATGCAACTCAAGGGAGTGTGTACTTTGATGCAGATGAGGACACACCTCTCTGCTCACTGACTGATAGCTCCTTGAATGGCTACAGAAGTTGCAAGATGCTCTTAGATGCCGGTTATCGTTCAAGCGGTATCTACACAATCTACCCAGAGGGATTTGTCGGTTGCAGCCTTCGTGTCTACTGTGACATGGAAACTGACGGCGGGGGATGGATCGTGTTTCAGAGGCGACAAGATGGCAGCGTGGACTTCTACCGTAACTGGGCCGAGTACCAGTCTGGGTTTGGTGATCTGTCCGGTGAGTTCTGGTTGGGCAATGACAACTTGGTGTCTCTGAAGTCTGACGATTCACGAGGAGCATGGGAGCTACGATTTGATTTAGAGGACTGGGAGGGCAACACGGCATGGGCGAAGTTCGCAGATTTCCAAATATCCCCGGGTGAGTACAATCTGAACATTGGCCAATACGATGCCAACAGCACTACCGGTGACTCTCTTGGGCGTCACGGAGGCTTTCCCTTTTCAACAAAGAATCGTGACAATGATGCAGGGGAGAGAAATTGTGCGCAATCCTTCCACGGAGCCTGGTGGTTTAAAAATTGTTTGGTCTCTAACTTGAATGGTCGATATTATCCAGATGAGCACGCAGCTGGTGATCGTTGGGGCGTCTATTGGCGCTCCTGGAAACGCGATTTCTATTCTTTGAAAGCCTGTCAGATGAAAATTCGTGTGATGGGACCATGAATACTTTTTGTTGAGGACATGAAATTAAAACCCACCGCGCACGATAGATACGTGCCGTTTCCTCAACATCACCATGTGCGGCTACATTTTTTTTTTGCATTTTCAGAGTTGCGAGGCCGTTAGGCAAATATCTATCCTGATTGATTTCTTTCTCCTCGCGAGGCGAAAAACTCACCGAGTGCGGCAAACCTGAGCTACGTGTTGAGCCAAAAGCATTCTGTAATTAAAACCAATGAAAGCACACATTCTGTTTACGTTATTTCAAGGTGGCGGTCCCCAACATTGTCAGTGACATTGTCAGTGACTACAAGAAAAGCTGGTTGATTTGTGGCCAGATTATCTTTGTTTCGTCGGTCTCATATATTGAAATCAGGTGAACAGAGGCGAAAGAAATCAAACAGGATAAAATTCTTTATTCTCAGCACAACTTCCGGTTTTCAAATCCACCTTTGTTTCCAGAAATACAATAGTAATCAAAAATATCGAATGAAAACAAGGAAATCGAATGAAACAGCGGGCTAACCTATAAACTCTATTGGAACTGGTATACTTGCAGAGCAGGTCGACTAGTGCATGCAAAAACAGACTTTTTAAGGTTTTTTGACGCCAGCAATAGCGAAAAAAAACAAGATGTATTCTTTTTCGGCGCATTATTATATTTAGTACCTTTGGTTAGATTTGACATTTAATCATCGCATGCTTTATGATCTATTGATCAATAACAGCAAAAACAAAAAAATATTTAAAACTGGCTTGTACTTACAAAAGGACAAACGACAATATTCTAAATGCTTAATTGGTCGAAAAGGTACAAATATAACATTGCACCAATGACATTTAGTTCAATAAATAATATCAATTGAATAGTTTGATCGTAGGGTTTCCTCCAGCTAAAATAATACAAGTGAGAAGCTTTCCCATTTATCCGCAAAGTTATCGTGGGTAATGAAATTTGTGCTTTCAGATGTTGTACCATGTGGTTTCGTCGTTGCGCTAATACATATGTATATATCAATGAAAAACGAAACGACTCTCCAAAAGGACAATAATTAAAGAAGTTGATAACCAATTTGTTTCATAAGTTAATCTGAAAGTGAACATATCACATGATGCAACATATGCAGTGTCGTACTTTTGGATACTATATTTTGAGAAAATGGAACTCAAGTGTAAATGATTACTGCTTAAATATATAGATATGGATAATAAAGCTACAGGGACCGCGAACTGGATTATTAAAGTGGACCTAAATGTGTTATTTTGCTTTTCTGCTTGTATATTGCAACAAATAACATTAATATCGACCTGAGACGTTTAATAATCTGAGTGATAAGAACCAAACCATTATTGTTTCTTTTCACTCAGTTTGCTGTTTTCAATTTTGCTTGTATATTGCGGCACAAAACTAAAACGGTTCCAATGACCTATGACGTTTAATAAACCGAGTGACAAGAACCTATCTATGAGTCAGTTTTCCCGATTTATTCAAAGTTTTCTGTTTGCAAGAATGTGATTCTAGCACTTTGCTTAGCAGCTGTGGGGCGAGCGGTGTATTCTTTACCCTTCCATCTATAGCTTAAACTTCGTCGAAAGGAAGTGGCAAAAAATTGAGAAGCTTTTCAAATTTAAAAAGCTTTACTGATTCGAAAAGCGACTACTTGCCACCTCTGAAACGTTTGATATTTTATTTCCACTATATTTAATATTATATTAAAAAGTGTTTGAACAATTCGGTTCAAATAATGAACTAATAATTTCATCATTTGAGTGCAAATCTACCATTTTATTACAATCTTCAGATTTTTTTTAGCTGGCTTCAGGGTTTTTGTTTCATATTATAAGGTGTTTAAAACAAATGAGTTGAAAAACTTTAACGGAAGTTGAAATTATAGTATGGGGGTTAGACCTTGCTAGGCCCCTGCGAATATAGTATTTTCGCAGGCAAGGATACCATAATTATTGAAGATGAGGCGAGGTTCTGTTATAAATAGAGAATAAACTACGGGATGGGACAAAATATCTAAATTTCTAAGAATGGCAAGGTTGCGAGATATAATTCTAAGGACTTTCTGATAATGATTTCTCCACATTAACTTATAATCGATAATGACACCCTACAATTTACAGGAATCAACCTTTTCAATATGATTAACATCTTAAGTGGCCTAAAATAACTACCCAAGACTGTTGTGTGGGAAAAAAAATCGAGAAAGGGTGCGCTGAATAAAACTAGTGGTCTCGCACCGCCAAGACAATACACCGCACGCCGTAGAATATTGTAAGTTTCGTTCAATAGAGGGCGCGCCACATAAAAAGTGGTCTCAACAACGCATCAACACGGAAGCTGCACAATAATTGAACAAAATGAACAAACTCGTTTCCGATGAACTACTCAAGAAATACAAAATGGATTGAATTGAAATTTTGTGCAATTAGTTTTCACGATGTGTAGCATAAGTAGTTTGAATGGCGTGAGAAACCGTGGAGCTATAAATATAATATGATCGTAACAATCTAGTGTTTTAAACGTCAAAAATACATGTTGACTTCCATTAGGATTGTATTTGTCGCGATTAAAACCCTGTATTGTTACGGTCATAATAGCTTTATTATTTGACGTTTTTTTATGAAATTAAATCTTTTGATGTCAAACAACATGGCAAATGAGTGTACGAAAATTCATTTTAATGTAACGTGTATTTCTTGAGTTGTTGGCCCCAAATCGAGTTTGGTGGTGGAGATCGAGACCACTATAATGACTGTTATAGTAGTGGCTTTATATTTGCAAAGGAGTGTAGGGATCATTTTCATCAAGATGACGATTGGCTTCGCCACAACTTTTAAACTGGGGTGGTCATTCTCGGCAGACAATGTGTCCCAAATGATATCAGATAACCCCCCCCCCCAAACGTAAAAATTTGAACTACGCATTTCAACTTCGCCATCGCGAAGATGCTCAATTAACCAAACCTGTGAATTTGTGTACTATTATGCAGCATATAATTTTAGGCCTAGAGAGGGTGTACGTGAGTGAATAAACCTTTATTTAAGTGGCCTAAAAATAAATACCCAAGACTGTTGTGTGGAAAAAAAATCGAGAAAGGGCGCGCTGAATGAAACTAGTGGTCTCGCACAGACAAGACAATACACCGCACGCCGTAGAATATTGTAAGTTTCGTTCAATAGAGGGCGCGCCACATAAATAGTGGTCTCAACAACGCATCAACACGGACCGAAACTGCACAATTGAACAAAAAGAACAAACTCGTTTCCGATGAACTACTCAAGAAATACAAAATGGATTGAATTGAAATTTTGTGCAATTAGTTTTCACGATGTGTAGCATAAGTAGTTTGAATGGCGTGAGAAACTGTGGAGCTATAAATATAATATGATCGTAACAATCTAGTGTTTCAACGCTAAAAATCCATGTTGACTTCCATTAGGTTTGTATTTGTCGCGATAAAAATCCTTTATTGTTACGGTTATAATAGCTTGATAATTTGACGTTTTTTATGAAATTAAATCTTTTGATGTCAAACATCATGACAAATGAGTGTACGAAAATTTATTTGAATGTAAGGTGTATTTCTTGAATTGTTGGCCCCAAATCGAGTTTGGTGGTGGAGATCGAGACCACTGTAACGACTGTTGTTGATAGTAGTTGCTTTATATTTGCAAAGGAGTGTAGGGATCATTTTCATCAAGGTGACGATTGGCTTCGCCACAACTTTTAAACTGGGGCGGTCATCCCGGCAGGCAATGTGTCCCAAATGTTATCAGATAACCTCCCCCCAAACATAACAAAATTGAACTACGCATCTACGCATTTCAACCAAACCTGTGATTGTGTGAACTATTATGCAGCATATAATTAAAGGTAGAGTCCATCATTTGCAGCCATCCGAAAAGTAACTGGCGTAATTATTGTTGAAAAACTAACTTGGTTGAAAGATAGTAAGGAGACTAAACTCCCTGTGAAATTATTCTTTCTGGGAAGCTGTCATTTTGAAGTAATCAACGAAAGAAGGCATTTCCAACGGTGATTCTTAAGAAGCACCGTAGGAAAATTTAAATTAGTAGTTCGTTTTGTTATTCAGCGCAGCGCGCACAAGTATTGGAACGACGCACACGCGCGCGCGGTTGTTATAATTCGTCGGATCAGTGCGCGACGTCGCGTATAGTTGCAATTCAAAACAATTCAAAAACATGATTCAGCAACTTTTGATTTGAAATTGAGATCTTAGAATGCTGTTTTTCTCAGAATGTACAGCTGAAGCTTAGCTGAAACTTCATCAGGTTAGTTGCTCAGTATCCTTCATTAGATTTTGAACTCTTTTGTTGCTTCAAACGAACAAAATGCACAAATTACAAATGATGGACTCTACCTTTAAAACCAACCTTAATGTTTTAATCTACAGTTCGATTTGTTAAAACTATCGTACGTGTTTTCTTAAAATTCCTAGATAACTGTATTACACACAAACCACTCAAATACATTCATTAGTTCACTATTCATTAGGTCTACAGCATCATTCAAATTGTGACCACTGTAGAATATTTTTTTATCATCTGCAAATAAGATGAACGTCAGAGGTTGTGTAGCATTACGAATATCGTTAACATAAATAACAAATACGATTGGCCCAAGGACTGAGCCCTGAGATACGCCACAGGTGATTGATTTGCAACTGGGAGCACGGATGCTGTTTATTTGTCACATTGTAACCAGTCCTTTGTTGATGACATCAAGTCTAATACCTATTGAAGTCCATCAATTAAAAACTTCCATTAGAGGGAAGCAGTTTTAGCAAAAATAGGGAGCATGGAATTTTAGAAATTTGTTTGATTGTATGTATAAGACCAACCAACATTCTCAAATTTGACGATCCATATTTGAAAACGTCACAGTTGTTTTTACACATGTGCTTATGGGAGCCAAGTGGGGACGAGGTTGACACCCTACCTGACTTTCGTGAACAAAATTTTAAAGTGATCAA